TTTAGACAACCTTCCCTCACATAGCTTTCATTAATGACTGTATATTTCTGTTATCATGCTGAACTGATGCTGATTAAAAATAATCAGCCAAAATAAACAAAAGAACCAGAGGGGCAGCAGACAGAAGTGTATATGGAGGAGACAGGGTGAGATGCTGAAGTCAACACTACAGTGGGAAGAAATGTTGATAAAAGAAAACCCTGAATTTCTTCTGAGCTCATTTTCCCCATGCTCTGTTCAGTACAATTCCTGCAGACACCCTGCTAGGGAAGAGTCCTCTCAAAACCCTCTAAGATACTCATTTTCAATGAATTGAGACAGCTGGGCTCAGCTATCTTGAAGTACTTCTCTTTCAATATCTCATATGCCCATAAAATACGTTGCAAACTCTTTAAAGCAGAGTCCAAGTGCCCTCCCCAGGCCATTTGGTTAGTAGTGTCATCATCTGACAACTATCTCAGTACAACAGCCACACTAAAATGTTGACATCTTAGAATAGAATGGTTTGGATTGGGAAGGGCCCTTAAAATCATCTAGTTCCAACTCCCCTGCTATAGGCAGGGACACCTCCCACTAGATCAGATTGCTCAAAGCCCCATCCAGCCTGGCCTTAAATGCTTCCAGGATTGGAGCATCTCCATCCTTGGGGACCTCTGCTATGTTGTATTCCATTATGGTGATTTACATAGATGTCAGTCCTCAGGGATTTCTAAAGCTTTCATTAGGCTCACATTAGTAACATGGCATGACACAGATCTCTAAAAAAGAAATCAGCTGAAAATCTCCATGTGAAGCAACCACACCCAGGACATTTATTTTTCCAGACCGTGAGTTTCTTCAGTGTCTTTAAAAATTTTTCATCCCTTTGTAATGTGAGCCTGTGACGATATCTTGCTTCACAAAACATGCAGATTTAAAGGAGGAGTTACCACACAGATCATACCTCCCCTTTTGATCGAGTTCATCCCTAAAGTACTTTTTTTTTTGTCATGCCCTTCAGCACCCTGCTCTTATTAAGGAAATCAGGCACAAACAAAAAAACAAAATGACAAACCTACAGGGTCTGCAAGTAGAAAAAGATGGTAAAACATTGCAATTTAGCAGTGTTTTAGTCTGTATGGATCACACAACACCACAGTAGTTTAAATTCTCTACTAAAATTACTGAAAACATTTAGTGTACCTATTATGTCTACAGGCATTCGGCCAGACAATCACAGACACTTGTATCTGTGCTTTCATCTGTGAAGGATGAGTGCATAACTTAGGCATGTAAGTAATCAATCACATAGGCATGCCAGAATGCAAGGGTGTATTGTAGTTACACATCCAAGTGTGCTCCCACACCTCTCAGGCTTGCATTCCTACGTGAAAGCTTCATTTATGCATCTCTGAAGCTCAAGGCCTTTTAGATCTAGGGAAATAACTCCTGAATCAGTCACAAAGAAGCTATGCTTTCCATCATTCATCTGCATAAATTCAAATATATCCTGAAGTTGATGCTAGATACCTTAAAGATCAGTATTACATTGGAAAAAATTTTTGTGTATCCAAGCTGAAATAAAGCTGCCTGAATTTCCTATAACAGAATTGACAACTTTCAGAATTATACTCTTATACTGCAGCATCTAGCTTGCATAATAATCTAGCTGTCCGAGAGATTACTTAGTGGAATCATAAGTGGTTTCGTAACCATCTAAATACAAAGATCACCAAAAATTAAGGCTCTTTCCTTGGGTGCTTAGTGACTGACCCTCTGAAATCCAAAGCAGTTTGTTTGCATCACTCAGTGGTAGACAGCAGAACAGTAGCTGCAGACATCAGCCACTTTGCAACTGTATGATAATACCATTAATTAGGTATTGGCATGAGTTAATAACAAATCCAAGAATGTTTTAGATATGCACCAATAATTTCTGTGTTTGAATGGGAGCAGCCTCTGGCGCAAACATACTGCTGGATACAGAATGCCTCTGTCTTTCTTCTTGATGGATCTACATCCTAGACAATGAACTCTGTTGGTAACAACAATAGTTGGAAAGAGGCATTGGTTTCAGATCAGCAGGCTGACTAAGCCACATTATATTCAAAATACAAAGTATTTGAATTAGCAGGGGAAAAAAAAAAAAAAACTTCTTAAAAATTTAGAAAGACTATGACACAAACTAGCAAAATGGTTAAATATATTGCAAAAAATAAACTTTTTAATTGCTATACTGTCTTTTCTTGATATTACCTGAGTTACATGTAGTCCAAAAGTCAACACGTGTCATCTAGGGCCACAGTGTTTAAATGTTTCTGTGGACTCAAATGCCAAAATTGTTCTGAAATCTTGCCCTGTTTTTTGCTTAATCTTAGAAGAATCCAGAAATTTCCAGTATTTAGATTCCCAGGTACCTCTCTCCTCAGGTAAGCCACAGCTGTAAAAACCTCATTCTTAGCAGCACAGAGCAGTTGAAAAGACAACAGGATATTTGCTGCTTTGGAAGTTCACAACCACTCAGATTTTGCCATGCTGCTGATTTGGGAAGGCACCTTCCTATGAGAGCAGCAGACAACCTGTTCACAAGCCAACAATCCACTCACCACCTCACCATTTTGCTTTTCAAAGCAAACTATTATTCTCAGGTCTCCACAGACTTCTTTGTCGAGGACTTCTGTAGGCACCTAACTTATATGTGAGCCTCTGACCTAGGAGCAGGTGAGTCGACTGATGGTAGCTGCTCCAGGACCAAGCTAAATGGTACCTATTGACTTTATCATTTGAAAACTTAGAGATCATCAAAAATCCCTGCTTTCCAGCACCATAACAAATTAAATTCATTAACATTTGCAGGCTGCCCACTGTTTTTTTAATACAATATCCTACAAAGATAAGGTATCATTCTGTGCCACCTTTAAATTCTGCATGTTCGTGTTATGAATATTTTGCAGGAGAATTTCAGGGAGTTCTTTAATCTTTTTAAAGGACGCTTTAAACTTTCAGCATAAGAATCACTTACACTGGCAGCAGAATTATTTACATGAGCAAATAGATCATGGATTCTTCTCATTTGTTCTGAAACAGTTGATGCAAGTTGGTTATTCCTTCTTACTATTCAACAGAGTTAATCTTGGCATGAATTTATAAAGGCTCAACAAACAGCAGAAACATGAACAGCCAACTGCAAGTGAAAAAAGAAGAAGCAGTGTGGGAACTTTTCACAAGTGAATGCACTTACTTTCTGGATCATTTGCTGGTTCTCAAGATGGTAAGTTCAGATTTCAACTCTCAAGAACGATTAAACATTATTTACCCTGCTGGCAGCACAGGAGATGTGAAGCCATCTTTAACTTCACATTTGCTGTCTCCAGGTCTCTTGCTTTTTTTCCCCACTTATCTTCCCTGCTTTTCCAGTTTCTCTTTGGTTGTTGGTTTTTTCTTAATCTTCTGGATGGAATCTCTGTCTCTGGATATTGCTTTAAGTGTTCCACAAATACATTATGATTACGGATTCTTGCATTAATTCTGAATGATATTTCACTACTCCTCTCATTAACTCTGAACTGAAACCAGCCTCCAACTGACACTACTGGGTATGTCTCTATCACACGTCTATAGAATACTCTTGGTTTAACTTCGTACATATCTGTGATTAGATTTTTCTCAGTAGAGCATGAAAACAGCAGATCTGTAGTTCTGATCTTATCAGAAAACAAGTAAACCAACAACACTCCTCCGCAAAACTCCAGATTAGCTCGATCTTAGTGAATTTTAAAAGCTTTTCAGTATGGACAAGAAAAGAACAGCTATTACTAAGAATAGTAATAGTAATAGTAATACTGTGCAGTATTTATGTTCATCACACATCATAAATTAGTACAACTATTTTAAAGGATGGATGCTTCCCTGTAACTCTTCCTATCTTTTTTCTCTTATTCTGTACAGACTATCTCAATTTTATTATTAGTTTAAGGAAAAACAGATGAGTTTAGTGAAACATTTTCCATGTTGCTGAATAAGTAGTCTAGGCAACACAAGAAGAATTGCAAAGTAAAGGGAATAAAGAGAAGAGCGGGCTGAATTCCTTCTCCTACTCACAATAGAAATAGACAGAAAAGGGATCAACAGCTCCAGCAAGATGGAAGTGTCTTTCCTTCTCAACTCAGTTTAAAGAGGTCAAAAGAGTTCTAGAAATAAAATGAATAAATAAAGCAGGTGAATGTTAGAAATGCTATTTCACCGATTTTAATGAATCTCTGTATGGAACTTCAGGATCATGGTAAATCCCTTTTAAGCTCTCAGGCCTACTGCTCCTGGCAACTAAGGCTGCCCAAACACTCACCAGCAATTTAATCTCAGCACCTGAGTGCCAAGGGTTTTTTTCATTAATGCAGTAAAAATTCCACTTAGTAATCTACATTTCTTAAGCCTTTTTCAGCTCTAGGTCAGATTCGGCACAGGTCCAAGATCCCTGTAAGAGCTTAGATAATGTACCATCTTAAACAGCCAATAAATACAAAGGCAGTTTTCACTCAATGCAGGTTAATAGAACAACCTAAAGAGATGTAAAAACTGCACAAGCATTTTATTTAAGCTATTCCAACAACTTTTGTCTTCTTCGTAGTGGCTCCCAACAGCTTATGCAGTACGGGTTAGGAGCGTAAGTGTTCTGAAAAGGCACAGAGATCTGTAACTCTACAATTCTGATGCTGTGGTTTTTTTTCCATACATATCTCGAGTTGGATCAGTGGCTCCATTCAGAGAGAGAACATAGCAAGAACATTGCTACTTCTGCAGTAGTTGCAGAGAGCCCAGAGCCATCATTTGTACCCCGTCGATTGCACAAAGCCCTGTATTTTGCAGTCAGATAGGTCAGGAAATTTTCTCATAACATCATCTTCTGATCATGAGATCATTTCAGAATTATGGTGCACATTCTTTTCATGAAAATTGCCTTATATATATAAATAAACACAATCACTGAGCAACATGAATTTGTTTTATTTTTAAAGATATTTATGAGGACTCTAAAATACCTCCAGAGTAATGAATTTCTCTTGGACGTGGACTTATGGAGACTTTCTGCAAACTCGGAGGAATTAAATAAGGTAAAAAGTAAAAAATTTAAAAAGTGCAACCTGTACTGAGATCAGAAACCGGCCAGCCCAATAAAAGGAGATGAGGAGCCAACACTAAGGTTTCTATTCAGATTCTACACATTCAATTGAAGATGAGTTCAAATAACTAGTCCTTCTGACATTTCTATTGAGTATTTCAGTTTGAGTGACTGGTTTAACTTCTGCAAAGTCTCCAGCAAAAGATGACAGAGAGCTCATTCAACAGTTGTTTCTGAAGCAAACAGGAGTTTTAGTTTCTCAGAAACAAAGTCCTTTTAAAAAGATTTGTGAAAGTGGACACCAACTACACAATCCTTACTGCATAATTAAGAACAGCAATATAACTTCAATTACAAGCTTCCCTTCTGAAATAATTGGACTTTGATATCTATTACGCCTCTCTGATAGAGCAAGGAAAAACAAAATGACAACCACCCCACTGCAGCCAGGGTTTCCCCTGTGTGGATGGAGGACTATTCCCAGCACGAAGCCAATGCTCTGCATCCATGTGCTACTCATCCCTAATCTTCCAGGAAGACTGCGAAGATGAGGCTTGGCTGCAGTGTGCTCTGGCAATTTGCTGGGAGGTCATTTCCTGAAAGTTAAAGCAGCCCATAAATCCAGAATAGTTTTCACATAGCTTTAGAAGTCACACAGAAGTTTTCCTTGACTTTAGAGTTACTTTAAGGGACTACAAATACCCTTACTAGCAAAGTGAATTTTGGAAGGGGCTCTTTAGCTTCGTAAGTTGAATGGCTATGGTCAATCATTCTCACAATAACTCATGACCATATCACACATCCTAAATAAATGTCCTACTTTAAGTTCTGTCTCTTGCTGTTATGCCCTTGCCTTAACCATTAACATCTCACTTTTTTTTTTGCAAAACAAGAAGAGCAGAAAAGCTTTTCAGAGCAGAGACAATTAACCAGTATTCAAACACATGAACTCATTTTTGCTCAGTAGTTGACCACTCACCAAGTGAACATGCTTGGAAATACAAGAAAAGAGATTTTATTTGATGGATTTCACCTCATGCTTGCTGTGAGCTAACATCATAAAAATCATCTAGCTACTAGAACTCAGATGATACGTCATTTCTGATGCCTCTCATTCTTAAAGAAGGAAATGATGTCTATTGTTGCATGTGATTTAGGAAACAACTAATATTTTGTGTTTGGTTGGAGCTTCACTGTGACTTGAGAGAATGATCTTTAATAAACTTTCCATTTTTTTCACATTTTGTTTTCATTATTAACAAGAAATTATCATTTATTGTGCATACTTGCTTAAATAAGAGTGGGAAAATGTAGGAAAAAATTATCTACTCCCAGCGCTTAATACGGCTTTTTTCATGCACTTTACTGCATGCATTTTTTCTTGACAGTAGGCTGAATCTATGAAAGAATGCATGCTGTAAAAGGTGCAAAGTGAGCCCTCAATAAAATGAAAGACACATTGTCCCATAAGCAATCATGCTCCCAAACAAGGCAACGCATGCAGTTACAACAGCACTTCATAGCAGTATCACAGAGGGTGGTGATGTTTTCTTCTGATTACAGGGAAATATTAGGTAATACAATGACATAAGAAAGTTTTTCAGAAAGATGCCTGGAGAAAATGACAAGGTTGATGAAGACCTGACAAAGCCTTCAAACGCATGTGATGACCCTTATCTGGCCAGGACTGCTGTATGTTCTAAACATGGGCAACACAGAGTTTGAGCCGCTGACAGTGCACTGAACCCATACAATTCTTTCCTTATGACTGAACAAAACTTTGGCCCGAGGCTTAGCCTGGTTGTGAATTTGGGAACAAACAGTGAGAGGCACATAGAGGTTAGGAACAGGCTTTCACCCACATCTGATTGACAGTGTAGGCACCCTTGGAAAACTTGCAGGGCATATGGGGTTTTCAAACGCAGTTTCTACATTTTAAAGCATTTTACAGAATTTTCCCTCATCTCCTAGAGTACTAAACAAACTTAGACTATGAAACATGATTTCTTCTTCAAATGAATGTGAAGGCTTCAATTGTCACACACAATGTTTTCCAGTAGATATCATTCATCCATTGTGATTCTCCATGTTGATTCATGTCCAGTACAGCTGTTACCATAAAGTAATTTTAAACAGAGTAATCATAATCTTCTTCCAGAGCTTTTGTCATGTGGTATTATCATGAGCACCGTGTTCAGTTTTGGGCACCTCAGTACAGCAGGGACATTGAGGTATCAGAGCAGGTCCAAAGAAGGGCAACAAGGCTTATGAAGGGCTTGGAGAATATGGCCTACAAGGAGAGACTGAAGGAACTGAGGCTGTTTAGTCTGGGGAAAAGGAGTCTGAGGGGAGACCTTATTGCTCTCTTCCAATATCTCAAAGGTGCTTACAGTGAGAGCGGGTTTGGTCTCATCTCACTGGTGACGGGTGACAGGACAAGGGGAAATGGCCTCAAGTTACACGAGGAGAGGTTTAGATTCAATATCAGGAAAAACTTATTTACAGAAAGGGTTGTTAAGCACTGGAATGGGCTCCCAGGGAGGTGGATGAGTCACCAACCCTGAACATGTTTAAAAACTGTTTGGATGTGGTGCTCAGGGACATGATTTAGCAGAGGGTTGTTGGTTAGTGAGGTATGGATAGGTCATGGTTGGACTTGATGATCGTTAAGGTCTTTTCCAACCTTAGTGATTCTATGATTCTATGATGTAACTGGCTATTTGTATAGATTTATTTTATCTTCTGACTAATTAAAACACTTGATGTAATTTTCTGAAGATAATCCTGGCAACATCATGGAGATAAGTGTTAGGCCTGAAGACTGTGAAGAGGTCAGGAATGAGAAATAAAGTTATTTTTAACTGAGGAAGTTCAGTCATGCTAATTCTCTTTTTCTCCCCCTTACTTAGATAAGCCTCAGCTCTGTGGAAAATTTTTGGAAACTGTGAAGGAATATGTCAGTGAATCAGGATCACCTATGAACTTCATCTCCACACTCAGAAAGGTAACATAATTAGAAATATTCTTGTTTAACTTCACTAGGTCCTTGCAACAGGTCATTTATCAGAGTATGCAGTGCCTTAAAGCAGTCAAGTCAGGCAAGGATATGCCAGCTGTCACAGGTAGTTTGGCCTTAGCGTCAAGTACTTCCCACCAGTAGGACATTTTTATTCATTGACATGTTTGAGGTGGTCATGGAAAGTTGCTCTGTACATGGAACACAGCATGGAAAAACATTCCCTTCCTTGGGAACCACAGCCCAGACCTTGAGAAGACTTTGTCACCAACAGAACCAAGCTTCTCTGTCTGCAGGGGAGGTTTCCCTAAATCCAGACACTGGCCCAGACTCCAGCTGTACCCTGCCTCCTTCCAGTCCGTCACCTAGATCCTTCCTTTACTCCACATACCAGACCCATAAATGTATTTAAGCAAATATATAAGAGCTCAGTGAAATACATATGTACTTTGGCCTGTGTCTGCTAAGTGAGAAGCAGGAACAGACCCAGCTATCTTGCTGCTGCCAAGACATCCAGGTCATCAACATGATATGCAAGAGAGTGAGAACAATGTTCAGGGGTTCTCCCACAAGCATTTTATTTCCTGTACAACTTCCTTATGGCCAAACAGCAGATAATATTAATGCAGACAGGAAATCATCAAGTTTACCATGTGATAGCCAAACTTGAATTTTCTGTAGCAGTAGAGACCATAGAAAGCTTCTAGGAAAGACCCTATCTCAGAGTGCTTAGGGTTTTAAAAAGGCAAAGAGAGTCTTACCCTAATTTCCTCTGACTTCAAGTGTTTCAATCCCAGAAATAATGAGCTTTATCACTGATGTCATTCAGTATTTCTAAGAGCTAACATACTTGGAAATAAAGTGGCATATTATGTGAGGCCACATAAATCTCTTGCTCAGGCAGTGTTTTTGATCTTCAGCTTCCATATCAGTTTCACGTTGTTTATTTTTAATTTGAACAAAGTCTAAAACTGCTTCTCTGCAGAGCCACTAGAACTGGGCTCCCATTCAGTGTTTGAACCCCTCCCCACCTTTCTTTTTTAAGTATTATACCAATTTGAGTACTGCTAACTCACCCTTCACTCTTTTAAACTCTCCCTCTTCCACTCTCTCCCTAAGTACAAGGTAATCTCAGGTAAAAGCCACATTACAAAACTAAAAGCAGAATTCCTCCTTTTGTCATCACATTTTCCTTTCTTGACAAGCTTTCAAGCCTATTTTGCAATTTTTCCAGGGTGACCTCTGCCAGACACACCAGATTTATTGCCTCAATCATACCACCACTGTCTTCTACTTGGAAAAGATGAGACAGAGGGAAGATTTTGGCATCTACCTGAAGGTAAAGTAATGGTTTTGCTCTCATTATCTCCAGCCTTCCTGTCTTTTGACAGAATTTTATCATCAGACCAGAAAAGTTCACTGGAAGCAGAACTGTGTAGACAGCATTTTACGTAAATACCTGAACTGCAGTGAATAATCGTGGATATGAAGTCATCGTTCAGAGTATAACTTTCTCTTAGTCATATTTGCAATTTAGAACAGGCAAGACTAGGAAAAAGCCAAAAGGAAAAAAAAAAAAAAAAAAGAAAAAAGAGGATGCATTTTTACAGGCAGATAATATGTACTGTCAGCCTTAAGCATTCATGTGTTCCACACATAATTCCTTGACACACTGACCTACATTTTACCCAAGTAAGCCCATAACTCAGTGAGGGGCTGAAGGACCTCAGGAGCATTGTAAGTGTTCTGTGGCATCACACACACAAGAGAGTCATAGTGATGGGCTGGGAGGGTCAGGGCTGAGGATGATTCATGGAAATTGGCAACACTGTCATCGCACCCGTTACCCACGGATGGCCTCGCCTTCTTCACATCAACAGTGACCACAGAATCACAGAATGGCCAGGGTTGGAAGGGGTCTCAAGGATAGTAAATCTCCAACCCTCCTGCCACATGCAGGGCCATCAACTTCCCCATTTCATACTAGACCAGGCTGCCCAGGCCCCATCCAATCTGGCCTTGAACACCTCCAGGACGAGGCATCCACAGCCTCTCTGGGCAGCCTGTTCCAGCACCTCACCACTTTCACAGTAAAGAACTTCCCCCTGACATCCAACTTAAATCTTCCCTTCCTCGATATACACCGACCTCACAGCCAGAGAAGAATATCATGACTTGCTTCTCCATAAGGAATACATAATGCAAGGCAAAAAAAGAGGAGACAGAAAGCCAGGAGCACATCAGTGCATTCACAGGGCTTGAGAGCCTACAGTGAAAGAGAAGGGTGGGTTTTGGCCAGGCTGTGGCAAGAAGGCTGGTCTGCTTTGCTTACACAAGAGAATCCATTAATCCATACTCCCTCACAGAGGAAGCAGCATCCTGGATGTTAGAGCAAGCAACCACTGCAGAGACAGAATTTATGAAGAGTAAAAACAACAGAACAGGTTCTGTCTCTGCCTGAAAGCAGCAATGCATGCATGGTAGCTACAGCCTTTACATCAGCCTTACCCTCAGTAGGAAATTTGTCTTTAGTTAGCCCATCTCATTACAGCTGATGCATACAACCTCACTGCCAGAGAGCAGAGGCCTAAGAGAGGCGTCCTTTGTCTCCAGCAGTGGTGTGAGCAGGGGGAGCAGTGCAGGAGGCTGCACCTGACAGAGCTGCTGGTGGTTCCTCTGCACTGCCTGACCCGCTATCTCCTCCTCCTGAACAACAACTGGAAGAGGAGCACTGACAAAACAGAGAAAGTTTCTATCTGGTCACTTGAAGAAAAAGTGGAGAAGTCCATGCGTAAGTAGCTATGGTTAAGTCAAAAGTATACAACTAACAATTACTAAGTTACGTGATGTTTTTGTGCCTCGAGGCTGGTCTCCCCACAGAATGGGAGAATGTGCATGCCTTTCAACAGTCTTGAGTCCTTTTGTAGGAAATGATTGGTGCCACCCATGGGCCCTCCGAGCAAGGTCACAGGACTCCCACATCAGTGACTCACTTGTGTTGGCTCAGAGTCATCCGCAGCGACATGGAAACAATTAAGAGCAGATCACAAATTGGAACAAATAAAGAAAAATCCCAAACAAAGAAGTCTTTGAGTTGGATTTACGTATGAAGAGGATTTGTTGGGGCTAATCCTTAATAGGATAAAATACCACTCACAAGGGGAATATTGTGCCAATGACCTTTCGCTAAATGACAGGGTCCTACCATGAAAAGCAGCAGATGAGCCATCAGAGCTACAACTTTTCCCTAGTTGTTACAGAAAAAGAAGGGATTGATCCAGGAAGCTTTTTGTTTGTTTATTTTCCTCTGGATTCTGCTCTAAGAAATTTGTCAATTCAGTAGGTACACAGCCAGGGTGCAGTACGTGTCTCCAGTTGGGGACTCTCAGCATGACCTCCACTGCTGATCTTTGGGCTCATCCCTGTTTTTGCTAAGGTTGTAGAAGAAAACGGACAAGCTTTTTCCACTCTTTGCTCCAGAAAGATAAGGTGGTCTTTTGTCACTAAATGGTGGACCTCTGCTGCGAGAAAGGAGATGTGGATATGGGCCCACAACATCATGGGATATCTAGGGAACAACAACAAAGGTCTTCCAGTGTTTAGGATTTGGTTACATTACACTTAAGGTTACCTCTAAGGTAAGGAAACCAAAGACAGGAGCTGTTGGCCTCTTTACTCACAGACCTGACAGATGTTTGCCATAATTTGTTGACAAGTAAGCCAGTGACATAAAGAATAGCATCAGTTCCAGAATTTCTTCACTTGTATATATATGTGCATTATCTGAAACAACTCTTTGCAACATCATTCAACATGAAAACTTTGAAGTTAAACTGCAGGTCCATTCAAGTTTTTCCTGCAATGGCCCTCAATCAGCAAAGACTGAAATCTCCATTTTTCACGTATTGAGACACTCATTCCAGTTATATTCTTCAGCCACTTCTGGCACTACTTCTCCTTAAAATGTTCTCATTATTTTCAACGGCCTTTTGATCAAACTGTACATAATGAAAATTATTTTCCTCTCACCACTTCAGACAGTGTTCAGAAAGGCAGAATTTTTTCAAGAACTTTTTAAGGCAATCATTTAAATGAGTTTTATACAATTCCCTCACTTGCTAAGTCAGATTAACGGATAGTACTTTTGCATTCAGCAGTGAATTTAGGCCTCTTTGAATGCATAGTTTGATACTTTGCTGACCTAAAAAGAGTTAAGTCATTGTCTCCAGTTAGGCCAGGACTCCATCCTTTGGCTTCTACCAGAGATAATCAGTATTCATCACCTTCAAAAAGGCAGCCTATTTTTTGCAAGCCTTGGCAGTAACTGATGCTTTACATATTTCAGAGGATCTGGAAGGTAAAGTCAAGTGTTTGGACAACTTTCAGAAATTCAGGCAGCTCCATGAGGTCATAATTTGGCCTGAAGTCTGGGATCATTACAAGAGATTCTTTGTCCCAGAGGTAAGCAGAACTTTTAAGGGCGTTTTTCCTTCAGGAAGGCTTAGTTTCAAATCTATAATGCAGTCTAAAGCCAACTGATTGTCTGTATTTTGGTTGCTGTGGTTGGGCTTTGCCCTCATAGGAGTAGCCACAGCCTGAACACACTAATGCTGTTGGTAAACAACCAGACTGTGCACAGTCCCCAGGATGGCAGCATGAATTGCTTTCCGCTAACATCCCAGACAGTACGACATGATGAGCCAGGAGGACTCTCTACTGTTTGCTTTTGGGGGGCAGAGTGAAAAGTGGTAGACATAACCATTAATACATTTATTTTAAGCAGCAGAGTAAATAGGAAATATTTGCTTCTTCTACTCTTCATGGTAAGCCAATTTCCCATTTCTTATTCAAATATCATTTAAAGTTACCCAGCATCCATGAGAACACATACACCTTTCTTTTGTGGTTGCTTCCTATCCAGACAAACAGACTTTAAACAGCTTTATGGTAATATCATCAGGCGAGTCTCACCTCAAGGATTTGTCTATTCATGCACAGAGCTGAAAAAAACATTACATTTACTCTGGAAAAGAAAAGCCCAGCTTAACATTTCAGAAGATTAAACAGATTTAAGCAATAGCACTGCTGAAGAAACTCAGTCATGCTCAATTATTAGCGCTGTGGTGTACTTAGCCTGATAAATCAGTAAACATTGTCTCCATTTAACTGCTGGATTCATCCCAGTTTGGAATTGGATATGTGAGACTCCCCATTCTCTCACTGTCTTTCTCTTTTTGGTGTGTTTGAAACAAAGCTTGAGAGAGAACAGTGAAAACATTCTGTCTTCAGCAAGCAGACTTCTTCACGACAGGAGGCTGACATTGGCAGGTAACATCCCTATGTCCTGGTATTAGGAATCAGCTTAGCGAAATTACACTTTGTTATGGCAGTCCAGAATGAATTCTAAGATAGTATGGGCAGCTGCAGGAAAGCAGCAGCAAACATCTTGTCAGAGAAAGCCTGAGAAATAGCCAGAATGCCAAAGGGATGAGTAATGCTCATGATTGCTTATCAGCACATCTGGATATTCAATCTGCCAGGTGCTCAGGAAATCAGATTGACTCGCATGTGCCTGTCACTCAGAGGGAGAGTTACACTGTCAGGTTCGAGGATGTGGCAAAAGGACATTGGGAAGTTTAGATCGCCCTACGTAAAGTGCCCCACATGCCTGGGAACTGATATCAGGAAGCTGAATTCCATGATGTTGCACATTGTACTTAAAATGAAAAATCCAGAGGTTTCCCTTTACCATTTTGTAATTCATCTCTGCTAAGACTGCTGTTCTGATGCAAAGCTTGGAACAAGAAGGTAATATGTAAACAATAGCAAGCTGAGTGGATTCCTTTCCATCAGCAACACACTCACCAACATGCCTGCCACTAGCATCATACAGAGCACAGCAGTCCCACTTCAGTGTGCTCACAGCCACCTACCACCTTGGAATAGCTGGGAGATACATCTCCAGACTCAGAGGCACCATTTTGTAGCAGGGCAGAGGCTGCTTATTGGGTAGCAGCTGCCTGCAAATGAGAGGAGCATTTCCTCTGTGCCTGAACAGCACGAAGAGCCTGGGTAGTTGCATCACTTGGAGAAGAGCAGCATCTGAAAAGTGGAAGCAGCATGCAAGGGTGGCTGCAGCAGAAGTTGGCCCAGCCACTGCCTTAAAACTCCTTCTCCACCTCGACAAAAGCAGAGGTACAGACAGGGAGGTCCCAATACTTCCTGCCTCTTACTGTTAGTTTCATAAAAGGAACAGTGAAGGGACAGAGCCCATTTTTCAGTGGTTTTGGTTTTCTTCCCACATGAGGAGGATTGCAGTGGCAGAGGAGAAGGTGCAGCACCAGGGATAGGGGAATCAGAGGGAAAGACTGCTGCTGGTGTGTATGGGGTGGTAGGGCAGAAGAGGAAGAAAAACACTTCTGATAGTATTCTGCTTACACATATTGCCCTCTTGACAAGGCACCAGCACAAATGCAGTGAGATAAGGGTGGACATCAGGCAGCCACATTTGTTTTTGCAATATGTAATCAGAAAATGGAGAGGCATGAGCATAACTCTTACCCACCAAGAAAGCCAGCTGGCTGCAAGCTGCAGTATTGAAGTGTCTGGTATCTGTCCATCTGTCTGGATGAAATATCTTTCAAGACACAACAGAAATGTAATGCGGCACAAAGAAAGAAGCACATCCTAATGTCACACCCCTGATTCAAACATATCTGTTGTTAAAGTGAACTGTGCTTCTTTGAATGAAACTGTAACCACTGGCAACACAGTTTTATGTTTTCTGGCAATCTTAGAATCCAGAAGGAAATGCTAGAAAGTTTCTATTTCAAGAAACGCAGGTTCTTCCTCAGAATGTTCAAGGAGCAAATACTCCTTCTGCTGTCAGCTGCTATTTAAAAACAGCACAATCAAAAATGGATGGTTAGGGGGACTGGGAGTCAAGAGAAAGTACAGTCAAAGATCAAGATCAGGCTGTCGTATTACTAAGTGAAAGTCAGGGAAAGTCCATGAAGACAAGTTTTTAAATTGGAGAATGAAATGCCCAGGAAGAACATAAGAATTCAAGTGGCCAACAGATATGAAATTCACCATGGAAAATCTTTGAAAATGCTATCAATTGTTCCCCTTCTAAATAAATATGTATATATATATATATTATTTCAAGAAAATGAAGACAAGTTACTATCCTCCTCATTTTGTTTAGGTTTGTTTTTTGGTTAAGTTTCTTTGAAATTCTGCTGATCTTAACCACAAGGTAAAGAGATCAATTATTTTATTAGTAAGAGTAAGTAACTAAGTAAGCTAACTTCAGACATGCAAAAGATGTGATAAATTCATGAGATATCAGAAGAGGTTGAGAGAACAGTGGTAGGGTTTGCAACAAATATATATTTTTTTTTCCTGTATAATGCTCACAAAAGCCATACACTGTATGAGAGAAGCTGTAGAAAACATCCTACCAAGTTTTTGACTTCATAGAAACTTACACAAGAGTATTTTTAAATACACATCAACAGCCCAGCTTACAGTCTTCTGAATCTCCATCAGCACATAAGATGATCCTCATGGCATTTCCTTTTCAGTAGTTACTGAAGGTGCTTTCTACAATCTTAATGAAATAGGTTTTCAAGACAAAGCATTTCAGAACAAAGCAACCAAGAAAGTATTTTATCATCCTGCAAATTGCCTGGAACCAGTAGCTCTGAGCATCCCTATTTGCAGTGAAGAGTAGCTGGGCTTTTCATGCCCCCAGAGGCTCTACCAGTTTACAGACTAGACAGAGGACTGATAAAGGATAAAGCCTGCAGCACACATAGAGAATGATTTTGGAGGTTGAGTAGGATAGCAAGTTGAGACAAAACAGGGAAATGAAAGACAAGCAGGCATAAAGGAACAAGGAGGAGCTGTAAACAAGGAAAAGATCAAAGGGCAGAACTGCAAATTCATTCATGTAGAGAGCTTTCTGGAGACTCTAAATGCCAGATTTCCCAGAGGAAGTTGCTTAAAAAATTGCTTTTCCTTCCATTAAATTATTCCCTATTATTTCTACAGCAATAACAGTGGAATTTTCACCAAGGCATGGAGATACAACTTCAAGACTTAGAAGCGCTCTCACAGACACCTGTTGTTGTATGTCTGACATCCTCATGACCTTCCAAACAAGGAAGAAAAGAGAAGCCAACTCTCTTCTGTGTAGCTTTTGAAATGACTTTGTGAAACCATCAACTAACATTTCAACAAGGTGATAGCTTGTGCAGAAGGCTGCAGACAGGTATTCAGAGGTAGCAGAAAAGAGTGGCATTTCACTGCTTCCTTATCTCTGACATTTTCAGAAGGTTACTTATTTACTATGTAGGATTTGCTAATTTGTAGCATGCCAGCTGTTGCATTTAGAGGCACTGCAGGTGATCCGCATCATTTCTATGGGCAGGCAGTTGTTTTTGCATAACATGGTAGCCACTACGAATATTAATAGCCAAAAAAAGATAAAGTATAACACATTTAAGATTGAGAGTGCAGACTAGGAGACTAGTAGTTGTGTACTGTATTGAAAATTGTATTATTTCTTTGTTAAGTGTTCTATGAGATGCGGTGATTCCTAGATGTGCCCCAATGTAGAAACAGCAATTCCTTAAAATAATCATGCCATCACATTGACTGTTCTTAATTCCTCAGAAAGCACAAGACTTCTTGATGTCTACCGCTTTCTATTTGATGATTTCCTATCAATCACCAAAATTAAACATAACAAAAAAGGTAATAACGGATTGAGAGGTATGTGATTGCATCTGTTGCTATGTTTTCTTATCTGGATAAATGAACGAACCCTGTTTCTAGATTCAGTATGTTACAGGGGAGCCACAGGCAGAACTTGCATTACCAGACCAAACATTTTCCTGATGCCGTTCTTATATGCTGGATTCCTTGAGCTCAGAAGTTTCAAGAATATAAGTTTATAATGATCCTCTCATGATTCAGTCCAACCCAGAAATACAAATATGTAAAAAAGTATCTAGGTAATTAAGTTTACAAAGCTAAGCAGACCTATACTAAATATCAATAAGCTTAGGTTGAATTTAGAGATATTAAAATAATAGAAGCAGTTGCTCTGCTTTTATAGGACATACAGAAGATGTTGCTCTAGAATCATTCATTGCACAACACCATCCTACAGCAGGAGAGAGGTGAAAGGAACAGAAATTCAAGGGGCTTGGTGCCTGCTGGCAAATCTCACTGAGGGTTTGCCTGTGTACGTATTGGTGAGTATTCTGAGTGAGGTTGTTACCCATCTGGAGACCCATCAATTCTGTGTTCTGCATGTTCATGACGGGAGACAGGGAAATGTATCTCTGAGAAACTGAGAAAATCTGATATTGAAAGGATAGGTGAAAGAGGATCTTTGAACATCTTTGTTTTCTGCCTGAGGACCTTTATTGTGTTTCTGTCGTGCCATTTCAATACAAGGTGTGACCTTGACAAGAGAGTTCCAGGTACTGATGAGTTTTTCAGAGAAATAGTTTCCGATGTTGCTCTGGCAAATAAATCTCTGAACACCTTTGATGAGACACAGCACATAATTTAGGGCTGTTTATTGCCTGTACTTCACGAGCAGATGGCAGACAGCATACTAATCAACTTCATTTTCTATTCTCAGAAATACGGGGGCTCAGACACAGGCTTAACCCTTGTCTGTCCTTCCCTTGCTCCAGAGCTGCAGTCAGTTGTAAGAGAAGGTGGCTTTTGCCAAGTCTTGGACCAACCCATCACACTGGACAGACTAATACTGAAAAATGTTGATGCCATCCATGTAACAGGTACACCTCTGGGTGCATCTGAATGCTTTCAAAAAAGTTTTCTCCATGCATGATCTATGCAGTGGTTTAAGGATAATTTGCACACAAACCACCTCGAGTTGCATGGAGTACAAAAGCCGCAGCAGCAGTTGGCTTCACACTTACCATGACCTTCAGACACCCACATAGACAGCCCATATTCCCCTGCCTGAAACAGGGACTTTCACATGCACATGGGTGACTCTCAAGTATGTTCCATTCACCCCACGGGTGGCATAAAGACTCCAATGAGTTCTGACATTAGCCAACGGTTCTCTTAACACAAATGGAAATCATTCTTCCTAAGCCAATGCTTCCCTTCTCCTAGACCTCCAAATGCACCACCATGGGAAACTACTTCCAGTAATGTATGGTGTGCCTTTGGGTGCGGAGGGGAGGAGGACCAGCCTTCACAGAGAGTGACTTGTAAAAGTGGATGTTAACTAAGGCAGTTTCCAAAATCCAAGGTTGAGTGGGGGAGCAGGCACAAAAACAATCAGGACTTCTCTTTTTGCATTTGGGCCGGAAGAACCCCAGGCACCCGTACAGGCTGGGAGGAGTGGTCCTTGAGAGCAGCTCGGCAGAGAAGGACCTGGGGGTCCTGATGGACGAGAGACTGAACATGAGCCAGCAGTGCGCTCTGGCAGCTCGAAAGGCAAATGGGATCCTGGGCTCCATCAAGAGAGGGGTGGTCAGCAGGGACAGGGAGGTGATCGTCCCTCTCTACTCGGCTCTTGTGAGGCCCCATCTGGAGTACTGTGTCCAGGTGTGGAGCCCTCAGTACAAGAAAGACATTGAGATTTTGGAAAGGGTCCAGAGGAGGGCGACTAAGATGATCAGGGGGCTGGAGCACCTCCCCTATGAGGACAGGCTGAGGGAGTTGGGCTTGTTCAGCCTGGAGAAGAGAAGGCTGCAGGGTGACCTCATTGCAGCCTATCAATACCTGAAGGGAACCTACACCCAGGAGGGGAGTAAACTCTTCAAAAGGGCTGACAACAGCAGGACTAGGGGAAATGGATCCAAGTTGAAGGAGGGAAGATTGAGGTTGGATGTTAGGGGGAAGTTCTATACAAGGAGAGTGGTTAGGCCCTGGAACGGGATGCCCAGGGAGGTTGTGGATGCCCCGTCCTTGGATGTGTTTAAGGCCAGGTTGGACGGGGTCCTGGGCAACCTGATCTGAATGTGTGTGTTTGGTGGCCCTGCTAGGCAGGGGGGTTAGAACTACATGATCCTTGAGGTCCCTTCCAACCCAGGTGATTCTGTGTGATTCTGTGATTCTCTTTAATCTGAACCACCTCCACAAGCTTACACAGCTCAGTCTAATGCTACCAAATCCCAAGAGATTCATATATAGAAGAGAAATAAGAAACACAAACCTCCAGGCTTCGGGGCCTGACAGCCATCCTAATCCCAAGGACTAGGAGGAAAATCTCAGGAAGCTAGAGCAGTCTGTGGAAAATCAATAAACGTGGAAAATAAACCTAGAGCATGTAAAATTTATGATAACCTTGAAACACGTTCGCCCAGAGTAATTAGCATTCAGCATCAATGTTAAAATGCTGATAGGAAATAGAGGTAGGCAATAAAAGGCAAATGACTAAATATGAGGTAAGCAGATGAGCACAGAGGAGAATAACCTTTGTTTAACCGTGCTCCAGACGCTGTCTGCCTGACGAACTTCACAACCAACACAGCATAAATCAAGCCAACAGGGAGGCAGCTCTGGGCTGCTGGGGAGAACAGGGCAGCAGCCCCCCACTTTGCACATACAACAGTGGGCATAAAAGCCACAGTGCTAATGGGAATAATATTTTTGGTTTTTTCCCTAGTCAGTATTCGCTGTGTTCAAACCAGAGTCCCTGTGACACAATCACAGGCAGTAGATGAAGTCAACTGCTGAAGATCAGTCCAGGATCCAGCCCCTGTCTACAGCCCTTCCCCACGCTCTGCACCAAATTGCTGGACTTCTTCACCACATATTCCTACCAATATCCTTACAAAATTAGAGGGAGTAGTCTCCATTCCTTACTTACATTTTGCGATGTCTTGGAAACCTCAACCTAATACAGCATCCACTGGAGTGTTATACAATAACAGTGATAGCAATTCTCCACATAAATCGCAGTAGAGAGTCATTTTCAGGGAAAAGCAATGAGTGAACTCTTTCCATCTCCAAGCCACTGTTTCATACTTGGAATAGCTATGTCCTCAAGAAGTAGTTACCTGTTACTGAAAAGTAGAGGTGATATTTTCAAGCTGCCTTCATGCCAGGTTGCAACCACCTTATCAGTGTCTTCCAGTTTTATTTTACTACCAAGAAAACCCAGCACCAAAAGGTTCCTTCCACATGAATGCAGTAGTACTATAGCATTTTGCAGAATTTAGTCTCTCTGATCCCCAGGAAAGCTATACCCTATCCAACACTGTTTTGAATAAACTACTGTATTTCAGCTCCTAAACCTAATCTCAACACAACTTACTTGTTTTAAAACAAACTTAGCTAGTCGAGACATCCTCATGGCTTTGGCCATTACAATCTGCAAGGAGGAAGGACAACGATCTTGCTAAGACCAACTTGTGAGGGCCATCAGACCAAGAGTTTGAGGTAGATAAGCCATGTCACAAGGGAGACCACACTGAATGAGGCCAAAAGTGCAACACTCCCATTGATTCACCCGAAGCAGAGGGCAGCTGCACTGCAGGCTACCTTGTGGATCCCTGTTGCTGATATAGGCCTGCCCCGGCCACCAGCTCCCCTCACCAGGTCCAGACCTTCCAGCCCAACATGCACCCCTCACTGCAGCATGACTCTGCATCCACTGCATGGGGAGCACATGCTCCAGGTTTTTGCCAAGTATGTATCAGATTTGGTGAACACCTTGCCCCACCTCCCTGTCAGACCCACAGTACTTGGCAGATGTAAGAAAACACAGAACTGAAGCACTGCTCACTCAGCCCATCTGTGCAGCAGTCCTGCTTTCTGCTCTCTTCTTCCTTGTCCCTACTCCCTGAGCCACAAAAAGCTGATAGTAGAAATCTCCTAAGAGACCACCCCTGGCAGACCAGAACATACTGTACACCACCTCCTCCCTGCCAGCAGTACCAGCAGGACAGAGCAACCACCCCCAGCCATTTATCCTTCAATGATGTATGTATCTCATTCAGGATAGACACACACATATAGAAACAACCTGAAGGGTCACTAACCAAAGTTATGAATCCCAGCATAGCGTGAAGTATAGCAGGCTGCCTTTCCTCACATTTCTACTCCTGCATCTAATTTCAGTACTCGATGCACATTAAAACAGGAAGAGCAGCCGCTGACTAAGCAAAACAAAACCCCTGCAGTGGGAAATGCACAGCCAGACCTCCAGCTTGTAATGCTGCCAAACAATTCGCTATGTTTGATCACAACAGTTCTGAAAGCTCAGCTTCTGTGACCCAGATCACGTGAACTACTACAGCGAGGAGTTCAGTATTTTAAACCCCTCTGCAGCCATCATCCACTGCCTTCAAACCTGGATGATGGAGGATCATAGAGTCACAGAATGGTCTGAGTTGAAGAGGACCATAATGATCAAGTAGTTTCAACCCCCCTACCATGAGCAGGATCACCAACCACCAGACCAGGCTGCCCAGAGCCACATCCAGCCTGGCCTTGAATGCCTCCAGGGATGGGGCATCCACAGCCTCCTTGGGCAACCTGTTCCAGTGCTTCACCACCCTCTGTGTGAAAAACTTCATCCTAATATCTAACCTAAACCTCCCCTGTCTCAGTTTAAAACCGTCCCCCCTTGTCCTATCACTGTCCACCCTCATAAACAGGATATAGAGCTGAATGCTGTCAGCATGGTGCAGGAAAATGAAATTCACATGAGACAGACCTCAGATGGGTCAACCATTTGTGGTGTTGATAGCACTGGAGCTGTCTTAACCACCATAATACGGAGTGCAAGCTGCAGGGACAGCATTAAATGAATAAATACTAAACAAAAAGAGGTGAAATAGCCAGCAGCAAATGAAGAAACAGAGCATAAAAATTCCATCTTCATACCAAAAAGGAAACCCTCACTGGACATCTCAGGCCCAGCACACAGTGATGTGCTGTGGCCTTAGTAACTGGGTCTGGGCTCTGGGTAACTTGTGCTCACTTGGGGAATTAAAAGCCTGAGTATGAAGAGCAGCAAATGTAACTGAAGGCTCACGGGTGCTCGTTTCTCTGAATTACTAGAATTTCTCAGACTGCCTAGGCTTACAGATTATTTTTCTTGTAACAGAAAACATGGATGTCAGAGATAGAAAGAGCAATCTCCAATTACATGAAGTGATATGAAACCAAGAAAAGCACACTCCTCTGCTCAATAGCTGAATTCGCTGAAATTTAATAATGCCAGTACAGCTCTGATAGATGCAACAGAAGGCTACTGTGGTAACAGCACCGTTATTTCTTCCACAGAGCATTAACTTCCTGAAACTAACAGGCTTCTGACTCAACTAAATCGAAGTGATGAGCTTTGATCACAGGATGTAGGAATAAATTGGAGGGGGAGAATGAGCCACACAACAAATACATCACTCTCAGATGCCTCTTTGCTTCAGCTTGGGGAAGGCTCTTCCCAACAAGGTAAGTGTTAATATGGCCTGTTCTTTCCTAGAAAGCAGGGCAAGGAAAACACCCATGTTGGTGAGGAGAACTTGTGCACCAGAAGTCTAAAGCTCATACAAACTATTCACAAATTTCAGATTTCAAACTGCAGCTAACTCTCTCGCCACAGCTCCGGTACTTATTCCCTTTCTTCTGTAACACTGCACATTGACACCGTGGGAGCAGATCAGTAAAAGCATGTACTGCCTTAATTCTCCATTAGTTTTTGCAAGGAGGCTGTTTAATGCCGTTTCTCTGAAAAGGTCATTCTTACATGTGACATCCAGGCATACTGCATAAACCACAGAATGCACAAAAAGAGAGAACAAAAATGCAGTGATGTTCTATGTATAATGGGAACCTTTTTTACCTGACACTTTCTCACAATGTTATTATTAGCAGATTTGTCATTATGTATTATTTACTCTCAGCAAAACTGAATTCCAAAGGCTTTTCAACTTCTCTTTAAAAATGTAAACTTCTCATTAAACCATTCAATACATCACTGCAGTTCTGTGATCCATGAAGAACACACTTGCTAATCTTTTTTTTTTTTTTAAGGGATCCATAAATAGAATCACAGAACAGTTTGCATCTGCTTGCCACAACACTTTCACAGGTTACAACTGAGGGTGAAGGGTGCTCTCACTAGGCTACTCTTGGCTAAGTGCCTGAAATTAGCCAGTTAAGAGAGGAAGGCAGACTCCCTAGAGCCACTCTACATGGTCTGCCACATCTCCCACTTGCCGTGCCCAAGCGGATAATCTCCCTAAACAGGGAAGTCAACCCTTAAAGAATACTTCTAGTACCAAAAATGATTTCAGGGGAACCAACTAGGGGAACTACGCAGATGAGGATTAGACTGAAAAATTTAGGAGTGCCCTTCCAACTGTTTGCATTACTCATGGTTAAACCAGCATACCTCCTTATCCCTGTTCTGACATCAAGTGAAAGTCATGAGCTCAGCCACTGCCCCTCATCCAGCTCCACCCATGTGGTGGCCTGTTTTACCCACCTGAGCTTGTTCACATCTATACATACAGATTCCAGACCAGAGGTTGTATACAGACTTACCTGGTTCACCATTGTTCAGATGCAGTACACGTTCCTGCTCCTCCCCATTATGCTCGTGATAGAAGTTTCTGTCACAGCTTAACGAAAAAAGAGCAGCTATCCAGGCTTCACACCAAATGGTAAATGTGGAGGACAGGAGAGCAAAACTAAGCAAACACAGCAGGTCTACTCCAGGATGTAAGCTGCACTTAGCCACAGCTTGGCTTCAACAGCTGTGCTCAATCCCCACTGATCCCATACTCAGCTGCACCTGGTCACACCCTCACATCCCTGCTGCCTCCCCAGAACCTCACAGTATCTTGCAGCAGGTGACATTTCCAAAGAAAGATTTTTAAGCCCAGAAAAGCCATGTCTGTCAGATAAAGCCCTGTGCTTTGTGAGCTGTCAAAGGGGGAGTTTTTGCACTTGTGTACTTTTAGCCAGAAAGGCCATTAAGGCAGGTCTGTCTAGTTTACCAGGCAACTAAGCAGTGCTGGAGATCATTTTCTAGAGGTCAGCCCACCTCCAAAGGAGGACATGCTGGGGCAAGGCAGTACTCGCACCCTAACTGTGTTCAGGGAGAGAAACTTAACAGGCTCTTACGTGGTCTGAGGAGAAAGATGCCCCAGAAAGCAATCAAGGCAGAAATGAACTTCCCAACTTGAACTGCCTTTCAGAGAAGACCTCTCTCAAACTTTCTATACTAAGCAGAGATCTTAGGAAGATCTGCTTCAGTTTCTAACTGTAGTATTTGTGAATTTGTTCCACAACTCAGTTGCCACTTCATCATGGGACTGATTGTACATACACTGACCACCTGGGTTCTCCCTCTGCTCTTCATGCGGCTTTTGCCCAACAGCTGAACACATCCTTAATCTGAAGTCTTAGAACAAGCACCCCACCTAAGTCTTCCAGTTACATCCTTTGTCAGATCACACTGAATGCCATGTCTGACCGACAAAAGCCTTGTGCAATTACTGGGAAAAGAAAAAACAACTCTGAATTTAGCTTGATTACAGTCTCCTCATGAAAGTTTCTGTTGCAGTTTTTCACAAGTCTAAGAAATTTGCGTGTATAGCTTGCTTTTAAAAGTGTGGCTTCCCACCAGATATATCCCCCTTTTCCAAGCAGGTTGCTGTCTAAAGCAAATGATGGAAAGGTCTATTAGAAAGGTCTAATTTTTTCTTTTATTGTCATTCATCAATCCTGTAACAGGTTAGAAAACAAAAATTACATTTCAATAACATTTCATCATAGTTTATACAGAACTGGTTGGTTGATGCATGGTGTCATTTTCTCATCCAAATCCACAGCCACCTTTCAAACTGCAGAGTTTAGGAATTACAGTGCACGCTGGACTAAATTCTTTCACAATGTAAGGCACAACTACATGATCACAAGTAGTAAACACAAACACTGAAATAGAACTTAAGAATTAAACTTCAATGAAAAAGAAATAAAACCCAAACACACTCATGCAAAGTTGATCTACACCTACCAAGATGGTATGATCCAGTTTAAAAGAAGTGCAGTACTCTGTAAGTAAAACTGCATCATAAGGCTGTTATAATACATTACCTCTAAATACTGCGTAAGATCTTAAACTTTTTTCCATTTATATTTTATACAATTATGCAGAAAATAAGTTGTATGTGCCATATTCACATCCGCAATAATAAACTGATCATTGAAACTCAGGAAAGAGGCAAACCAGACAATGCAGTTTGTGGCACGCATCCATTACAGAAAACATTCATCAAGTTCACATCTCAAGTACTGAAGAAAAAAATACTCAATTAATGGTACATTTGGTGAATGAGGCTTTCCATAGCCAAACAACAATGCTGCACACAAAATTGTCTTTACTCAGCAGACAGTGATTATGAAAGCTTGTAGTTATGATTTGCCTCCTGTTCAGCAGCTAGAGTTTGCAAGACTAAAACTACAGAAGTTAAAAGAACACAACAGAGTTTACAGCAACTTGAAACTACTGGATACTTCCAAACACATAAAAAGAAAGACTTCATCGTGGTTTCTTTTTAAATTATTTTTTGGTGATAAACTTTTGCAATTTTGGCATTCACTTTAACTTTTACGTAATGTGACAGTGAGCAAACCCCATTCAACTTACCTAATGTTTGCATCTTACGCTGAGAGGTAGTTCAAATGAAATCTTATGTAATAGGGGATGGGGGGGGTTATGACTTTTTTTTGTGATTTTTCTTCTTTTCTTACAAAAGTGACAAATCCTATACAAGCAGCATTTTGGACACATAAATATAAAAAGTTCTGGTATTTGCTAACTCAGCAAGACGTTCTCCTAAACACCCCTCTTGTGCCAGGAATCAAGGCTCCACGTGATACAACAGAGCACTTTGCCAGGAAGCCAACAGCAGGAGCCTGGGCCTGCCACATCTAATAGTGAGCCCTGCTCCAAGCCCTCTTTACCCACAAAAGGCAGAAAACGGATTTAGTTAGTTAGTTAGTTTAGGTCATAGGGGGATGCAAGGTTGGAAAACATAACCACCAGGCTTCTACTTTCATCATAACACTCATCCAAGTGAGTTAGTGGGGCTTCAGTAATCTTCAATTGATCTGATACTCCTGTATCTGCTGCACAGTGAGTCCATAGTATGTGGCACGCTACAGACAAAAGGCAGAGTTTATGACACTAACTAGTACCTATTTGTTATTGTGATCATAAGACGCATCTAACGCTCTCTCTAAAGATGCAAAGCTCTTTGTTCAGTGCCCCTTAAAAACGAAAAATAAAAAGTGAAAAACTGAGTTTCTGTGGAGGGATTTCATTATCCAATTATTGCTGGTTTTGCAAAGTACACCATTTACTGCTTTTCGAGAGGGGCTGTTGTTAGCCAATAATTTCTGACTTATCCTAGAAGAGACAGTGAGGTCAATACTTCATAAATGAAGAACTGAACAACTGGCAAAAACCTTGAAAATATATAAAATTCACGTATTCTCATTTTATAATCTTAAAATGAAGTTCTACAAAGACAACGTGTGCGTGACTACATGAATTTTCTTGTTACATGTGCTCTCAGATGATCCTGCTTTTGGTACACAGTAATTATGAGTGCAATTCTCCTTACATAGCAAGGGGCCAAATGTAATACAATGAAAAGTCCAGCTGAAGATAAACCTTCTGTTCATTGATTAGAGCTAACACATGCAATGCCAACAGTGCTATTCCACTTACTCCAGATTATATTCAGTTAGACAGCAAAAGTGCATAGTGCAAATGACAGTGTTATTTCCTAGTCCCACAAGAATGTGTGTGGAAAGGTGGTACCCTGGAGGAGTAATTTATCAGTTTTAGCATTCTTAAACTACTGTGTCATCCTTCCTGGCAGAGTTTATGCTCTCTTTGAACTTCAGCTCCAGCAGTTTTCTGTCTGACACTGACTATTGGTCATAAATTTTTAAGTTTTGCAAAAAAACATTTGCTACAACTTTCCATTTAACTGGCATTTAACAATCCAGAATAATACTTGAGTTTTCCAGGTCCCCTCTTCAGGAATGTCATTTTTCTCACCTCTAGAATCTGAGGTTCAATTATTCTTGCTAATGTAATATAAACACAACAAGGTTACTTTGTTCTCCCAAATACCCTTTTTCCTCCACTAAGAAAAGCTCCCTAGTGAGGATTCACAAATAATCCTGATGGTTCCAAAACCAACAAAAATACTCATTGCTCTTGTAAGCCTAGTGCTCCACACTCCACAACAACTTGGTTACTTAACACCTTTCAAAAACAGAAGAAAAAAAAACTGCACTTTAAGCTAAAACACTGCTGGAAGCAGCAGCGAAATTTCCCTTCGTCTCCTCATCTGCAGACAGCAAGTTCTCCTACTGTGACTCTGTTTTATTTTCTTTGTTAAATTGTTGTAGAAAGGGGAAGGTCACTGGAGGGAAGAAATACATAGGGAGAAGAAACAACAGTGAAGCATATCCAGCTAAGATCAAAAGCCTGCAATCGAGCCTCACAATGCAACCTGCCTCCACAGGGACTGCAGTGTAGAAATATGAAGCATGTATTGCTGACATGAGGCTGGAATAAAAACAGTATGATTTGGTATTTTAGAGGCAACAACCCCAAGGGATCATGGCTGTTTGATTAGAAAGAGATGCAGTGCCTTTAAAAAGTTAAAAGAACCTTTCCCCATCCTTAATACCACCATCCTTAATACTTTTTCAATTGTTTCCACAGATTGCCTCAGCCCATGCAGCAGCTGGTGTTTCACATTCTGCTCCCACTAAAGATTCTGAATGTCCTCTCTGAGGAGGCTTAATCCAGTTTCAGGGAAAAAAATCCCACAGCTCACTGTCACATTCCTGATGCCACAGTAATAACTGGCAATCAAAGGCAGCTTGAGGATCCCACATACCTACTTCTGCAAGCATATATTTTACCATTTTTTCCCCTCCGCATCTCGTTTCACTATAGCCCCTCCTCAGTGAATACCAGCAACGAGGTTCTTGCTAAAGGCTAAAGCAAATCACTCCATGTCCTCTGGTTCCCATGTTCAAGTTTCTTCTGCCAATTTCTTTCTGTTTTTGTAGTCAGAAAAATCAGTGCACTCAACTACTTTGTCCAGAGTCCTTTAACTCTGTGCAGTGAAACTTACCAGTCTTTTTACTAGGCTTTTTCCTATTATTTCTATTTTAAAGCAGTGCAACAACAATAACAAAAAAAGCATATTCCTACTGAAAACACATCCATCAAAGTGACAGAACCCGTGAGCAGATTTACAAATACAGAGCTTTTCAACTTCCAGTTTTCCTTATAATAATAATAATCCTCATAGGTCATTTTCCCAAGCTTGAGCACGGGTTCCAACCTGAAAGCCAGGCTGACAGCATTATATGGTCCATCAATTCATCAGTGATTACAGATCTGCACCTAACAAAAGCATAGGAGCATAAGATTTAGCATGGAGACACTAATGCACTCCAGTGAAAAGCTGTAGAACTCCCAACTTTGCTGTAGATCAGTCCTAAAGCATGAAGGCTTCTGCCCCACTGTTCCTCCTGATTTTAACAATTCATTTTTCTGCAAATATGTATTTCAAAAACATTTATGTCCCCTCAAAAAGTCACTGTGTCATCAAAAAGCAACCAAAATAAAAAAAGAAACAGCTGGTTTCACCCCAAAAATGGGGAGCTCCACATCAAGAGTTATCCTGTGGTCAACCAAACACACTGCTTCAGCAGCCAGCTGAGTGAGGTGACTTCACTCATCTTTATACAAAAGCATTGCAAAAGGTTAAACCAAGAACAACTCTATTAGAACTTCTACTATTTTCTCCTTACTGTAGAGCCATCTCCTTAGGTTTCAAACGTCCCCATACAAAAGTAAAACATCTGAACACAAGTGAGTCTTTTAACCACTTCCCCTGCTCTCCTGAGAGATTTCCGTCTTCATCTACCACATACATTTTGTCCTTCATGCAGCTGTGGGAAGCTTTGCCCTTCACTCTTAAAATCCCTTCAGTTTAATGTGTTTGCCCTTTGCTCTGAAAGCAGCACCAGGCTCCATCTGTTTCACAACCACACCTACACTAGAGCAAGACTCCAATCTCTTTAACTTTGCCAGATTTCTGAAGTCACCTGTCAGAAAAAGAAAGGCTTGAAAGCAAACATTCTGGATTCAGTTAACAGAGTTAACTCAGTTAATAAATAAATAGAAGAAATAGAGGCAAAATTCTGCTCTTACTTTCTATTCAAACAATTCTTGTTTTGAGCAGTTGCAATAACAAGGAGATGCAGCAAGTCCAGAAGATCTGTTCATACGGAGTCACTGCAGCTACAGTTTCTTTCAAGCAAACAACTCTCAAATTCAAACTAGAAAAGTTGGTAAGTATTTCACGTCATCATGCTTTTATTCCAAGCCCTTTTATAGTTGTGAGAACTACTTAAATAACTCAGCCGGCTTTTGGGAAATAATAAAATTTGTTGAGAAAGAATCCTTGAGGATGAAAATTTAGAACTAGGTAACTACATAAGAAACATAGATCACTATTGGGGAAGAGGGATTAAGAAGTGTTTTCATTTCAGAGTCAGGACTGGACAATTTTCACAAAAGTCTCTTCTTCATTCACATACAGACCAGTCAGTACATAAAATTAAACAAACCTACCTAAAGATGGCTAACTGTCCACCACTGTAACAGAATTTGTTTCTTTACCTCGGGAGGTAAGGAGTAGAGGAACTGAGGACATATTCCTTATCTCCAAATAGCCAGCACAAATTTTTAAGACAGAGAATGGCTTGGGTTGTAAGGAATTTATTAGAGTACTCAAGACAAAGGGGATCTAAGTATCACAAGAGAAAACCTTAGCTCAGAAGAAATAATATCAATAGTTTTGAGGCCAAATGTCAGATACTTATTTCAAAGAGAGGCACAGTTAGACACTGGCAGGAAAAAAACAAGTGTAGAGAAAAACACAAGAAAAAGATTTGGAATTTACATGAACACATCAGGAAACCTCCGTTGCTAGTACAGAAAAGTAAAATCTGAACAAACAAAGGGTGGTAAAACACCAGAAGAGATTGCCCAGAGAATCTGTGGCTGCCCCATCAGTGGGAATGTTCAAAGTCAGGTCAAATGGGACTTTGAGCAACCTGTCCATTGCAAGGGGGTTGGAGTAGTTATCTTTAAAGGCCCCTTTCAACCCAAGCAATTCAATGAATCTATGATCTAAACCTGTATATATCTACCTGCTTATTTAGAGCTGTTTGGTTTAAAGCTAAGCCAGCACCAGGAGATTTGCATAAGCAGAATAAATCATTGAACTAGAATACAATGTAAGAACCCTCAGCAACAGGGGACAGATGGAACAGTGGAAAAATGAGGTCTGCTAAGAGTACCAGGAGTTCAGCTTTTTCCATCAAAGGTGAAGGAAGAGACAGGAGAAAAGTTCAGCTTAACTGTAGCACCCTCTGAAGAGAGTTTTCCTTAGTAGGATTTCTAGTGTGGAATTTCAGGATATGCCTCAGAACCACAAGGACTTCCTGGAGCTTCTAGAGTATGGGCATGGTGACAAATGGACTACAGGCTATCTGCACTGTTTGTTTTTTAAAACATGCATGTAAAGGGTTTCTGAAATATTAAAATCAATTCATCAAATATGTAAAAGTGAAATCAGTCCATGTGGGAGAGCTTCGTGTAATGTTCCTACAGTGCCCACTAAACTTGGTTCATCATTTGTTCACGTATACACACACAAACTATGCAGTACAGTATGCATAAAGACATTCCAGTATCCAAGTCCTGTAGTTTAGTAAGAACTCAGGTGCTGATATTACAAATTCTGAGCAGGCAAATAAAACTGAGATTTGATTCCAGCAATTTAACCCTCACTGTGGAGTTCAAACTTTAAAGAGAAAAGTCCTAAAACCAGAAAGAAAGAAAACAGAACCACAAGGGGTTATAAAGACCATCAGATACACAAACAAATGCAACAATGAGTTATGCTATTACAGCAACATTTGATACACAAAATCCTCACAAGTTTTTGCATCTTCCTTTTCCATTGAAGGAAACAAGAATAAACTGCAGTATCACATAAACGCATTTTTCTTGAAAAAAAAAAATAAAGATAAAAAAATACATTGTTACTCCTCTGTTTAAACTTTATTTACAAATAACTGGGTATTTCTAATCTAGACATAGAAGCTCTTTCCAGGATAGACAGCAATAAGCTTGAGTGATCTGAGCCCATATCTCACAAAAAATACAATAGTTTTACTTGGTATCAATAAACATTTTAAAATATACTCAATTTTGCCAAATGTTACAATCATTGTCCAAACTGAGTAGTAGTCTGAGTGCTGAATGAAGTGCATCAACAGAAATAATAAATTTTAGTGTAACATTTCTTTGTCACTCACACCAGTTATCCTTGCAAGTCATTAAAGCAAGTATCACAGACTCGGACAGGCTTCTTAGAAGAAGGAGTTAAGGCATTCTTTGCTGAGCATTCAGCACAAAAGATATTTCCACACTGTCTACAGTGATGCTGTGAAAGAGAAAACAAACATATATTGTGAATATTGATTACAGTTCTATGGACACAGATCATTAAGAAAGATCATTATCATGTCAACTCAACTCTCTAATGTCTCAGAAGTTTGAATTTTTAAATAGTAGTTACACAGCACCCTGAGTTTATATCTACATAGAAGAGCACAGAATAAATCCTTTCTAAAGGATATAGGAGTAAAATCATTAGAAGTGCTACTTCACTGAGTGCTGTCTATGCTAGTTTCAGAACTGAAGTGGTTGCAACTAATTCTCCTTATTAATTTCTCCTCTTTAACTTTTTTTGGTTGCATAAAACATGTTCTTCCTTCCTGTTTTCACATTAGGGATGTACCCTTGAATAAAACAACCCAGCAGCCTTTGTTCAAAGACTACCCAAAAGACATGACAATACATAACACAGGACAGGGAGAACCACCTAACAAGAAGACAGGAAGCACTGCAAAATAAACCTCATGAATATCCCTCAATTACTTCACTGCCAAGTCACTTGATGGAGGAATATAATGATAATCTCTGGACGAAAAGTAGACCCTGACAATGAAGGGGTGCTAACACCTTACCTGACTACAGCTGTTTCACAGCTAGAGCACAGGCAGTTGTTTGTTCTGTTCTGTGTCTAGCTAGTGCTTACAAAGATACAGTCACAAAGCTCATGTTAACGTCTCATATTTTCACACATATCCAGTTTCAACAAATTCACCTTACTTTTTCCACTTGTAAGTCTAGTCCAGAATGTAAGAAAGTTAATAGTCCAGGTTATAAGAAAGTTTACTGTAACTACTCGCATAACAGTACAATTTTGCTTTCTTGGGGCCTGAAATTTTTAACGCTATTTATAAATAAATGTTTTTAAAATGGCAAGCATGAATACAGTAAGCCCCACAAACATTACCTTTAGTATTTAAGGCATCAGAAGCCTCTGTATTCCAAGACATCTCAAATATCACAACACTTTTAAAGCCATTTTCTAAAGTGTATCACATGTAAAATACCTTGAAAGCAACAGAAAAAAGAAAATCCTCACAGAAACACAGGAAAACACTCTTACCCTTCTCACTGTCACTGAAAAGCCTTTCCCACAGGCCATACAATTCTGTACCTCGTTGTCTTCTGCCCATTTCCTGTTGAGAGCTTGGGTGTGTTTGATCTATTTAAATTTACAAAAATAACAAAAATCAAAATGCATATCTAATGCCTCCTAATTTGCTCAATTTCACTGCACGTACTGTGCAGTAAAAACAACAGTTCTGACGTAACACTGACAGCTCATGCTTTCTCCAAAATAAAACTTTGAGCAGAGTTAACCTACAGAAAGCAGTATTGTTCCTGTGGTGAGCAAGAACACCTTAATCACTGTGGAAAGGTAACCCACCATGAATGTGACACAACCTTCGTTTCTCACAAGCCCCACAGACAGAATCAACAGATTTAATTGCTTAAAATTATACCTGTAACGACTGGTTTTCTCGGCCTAGCTCCTGCATTGCAGCAGTAGTGTTGTCCAGCTTTTTCTTCATTTCTACAAGTTTGGATTGAAGCTTTTCAATTTCTCCCTCACTTTTTATACACCTAAGGATAAACAGTGAGTAGTCAATTCAAAGCATATGAGGAGATGTACTCTGCCTCCTGTAAGCAGGTTCTCGTGATTGAGAAGAATAGTTAGTCTTGTAAAATCCATCTGAAAATATACTTGCTGTGAAAAGTTCTTGGATGCCTTGGCTGGCAAAAATATTCTGTTGCAACAACCAATTTCAGATTATCTGGCATTGTTTCCAGATATCTGGGGCTATTCCCAACACCACAGACAGTACTGAATGCAGCCCATCAATCAGCATCCTCTGATAAACATCACTGTGCTACAGGACACTCTCACAAAGCATCTGTAGTAGATCAGCTCAAATAACAGAGGAGAAAAGTAACCTTTTCTTTTAGTAAGGCCACTTCCTATCAGCTAAAATGCACCTAACTGTTGAAAGCTGTATTTTAAAATGTGTTTTGTTATTAAGCTGTAAAATGGTAACTGGATGAGCTCAGCATAGTATGAACTGTCAAAGAAAAAGAATCTGATTTGAACCGTTTCCACTTTTTCCCCAAAGCTTACTGCTCAAAAGCCAATCAACAAGCTTGACAGGAGAGAGAAAAGTTTTCCATTCTGCCTTCACCAAACATCTCAGGAAATAGATGGAAAAGTTTTACAGTCTTGCAGATGTTGCAACCCTTGTAATCTCTGCTTTCAGATAGCTCCTGCAACCTTGCAGGCCTCCTGCTGTCTGAAGGAAAGCAGATCTGCTTGCATAGTTCTTAATAAATGCACGAAAGAAATTAAAAAATAACTGGATAAATGAAGATTCTAGTTTTTCAGGAGTAAGTAATGACTAGTGTTAATCCTAGAAAGTCTAAGCCAATTACATGTTCAGTCTTTTGACATGAGTAGTAGACAAACCTAGAAATGTAAGCATATTCTGTGTTGTAGGAGGTTCTAAGGAGCTGGGTCTAGCTGTCAAGATTACTAGTGCATTACTACTATTACTAGTGCATCTGCTCTGATTCATTCAAAACAGAGGAGCCTCAGAGTGATGAAGAAGGGAAAGATTCTTATTTAAGAGAGGCTTGTTCTTGCCAGCCTTTGTGAGGGTCACGCAACAGATGAGATAAGAAGCCACAACCTACACACCTCAAAGTTCAGAGGCACCCAATAGATTTAGAAGGCTCCTGAGGATTGGCATAAATCTTTAAGCACAGGCACAAATATGGTACTCCGGTGAAGTAAGGATCTGATAAGCCTGCTTGATTTCCTGCAATATAATCACCCTGTCAAACACAGAGAGTACAGTTTTTTCACAATGCTTGCTGTGCTTTGGCAGGAACAATAGAAGGTTTCACTCTCAAAAGCCACAGCCAACAGCCCAGGTACGAGCAGCAACCATGGATTTAAATGCAGAATCCTGAATCAACTGAAAGAAGCTTTGGTGTAAGGCTAACCATTTCCTAAATTACACTTCCACATCATCATGATCCCCCTCCTTACCTCTCTAGCAATGCTCTTCTCTCATCCTGATTATTCTGCACAGTTGCTTCCAAGACAGCAATGTCCCCACGTAAATCATCTGTCTGTTTCTCCAGTTCGCTAACTCGTCTCTGACTGCTTTGCCACTCTTTCTTCATGGTAGCCAGGTTTTCATTCAGAGCTGTGACCTGCATGGTCAGCTTGGTCTCCTTCTCCTCATGTTTCCGGTTTTCTTCTTCTTTCTCTTTCACCTCTGAATGCTAAATAAGGCACAAAAAACATGAAAAACAACCTTCCAAGCATTTTTCCATATTCCATACATTTAATTGAGGCAAAAAAATGTTTACCATTCTAGAATTGTTACTTTTATCCAATGAAACTTATTAAAAGATTGTCTCCTACTGAATTTTCCCACACTATTAAATGCTTCGAAGATCTCTGATCTTGTCATTTAAAAATCAGCGTTACAACTCTCTGCTTCCTCTCAGCTCCAAAACAATCCAAAGGCATGTTCACAAAACAGTCTTACAGTCTCTCCATACTAACCAGTTTGGCTTCAACTTCAGCACATTCTTTCTTCAGTTCCTCTTCTCTCTTTTTCAGCTGATCTTTGACAGCTTGTTGGTTTTTCTTCTCCTGTTCCAGAGTTGAATTCATATTATCTATCTTGCCCTGAAGCTCTAATTTCTGTTGAATCAGCAGCTGTTTCGCATCCTTGAGATTCGCCACCTCCTGTCAGGATGAAGAACATAAAGTTAGAGAGGCAACATCTGAAATGCTGTTTGCTTACATTCAAAAGCAGTAACTGTTTTCCAGTGAGAGCACAGCAGTATTTTTTCATCTTATCACTGGAAAAAAGGATGGTTTTATGGCACAAGTGTCAGTGATTGTGTCAGTTTTTGATGTCCATGGTCAAAGATTTTAAGCTTACACATAGATTAATAACACTCAATTATTTTAAATGAATTTAATGTATTATTTTTTTCTACTAGAATAGCAGAAGCTGTGTTGGATTATTTTCTAAAACTCATTGAAAAGAAATGCCCTTTGTCATTTACCAGAGTCAGTTGTAAAATTTACTTCACATTGTTCCTTGGTTGCACTGATCACCTTAAAAATGTAAGAATGACAAGGTAAAAACCCAACATCAATGGAAAACAGCTGGTTTGTCTTCATCTTAAACGTGTAAACATATTCACTAAGTTTTAAGCAAGCATAATGATACATCTGGTTCTAAACATTAGTTTGTTTCTCTGTATTAAAAAATAAATAAATCCTGAAGTAGAATACATAGTTGAATTTACAGGAATCCTTTTCCTTAAAATTGCACAGCCAAGCATGCAGATAGTAATAGCTTAATAGAGACTGTCAGCTTTATTATAGAAATAAATCAAAATTTCCACCACAAGTTAAAATCAATCCAAAGACAGCAAGAAAATGTAACCCGAGGACAAGTGGATGTCCTATAAAAAATACATCTATACATTCCCTGGCAAGAGATGGAAAATAGAGTAAGGGACTATAGGAAACAATTTCTGTTTTAGTCTGACTCCTAGAATACAGATCAAGAGATAAACATGAAGGTGACAATGTTGTACACAATTATGTATAAGTTTTCTCTTTTAAAGCAGATTTCATGAAGTGATGACAATTACAATAAGCATTCTCCAAACCCAAGAAATTGCTGGGCATAGACTGCTTGACAGTAACAAATCACAGATTTCTATCTAAACTGAAAAGACCACTTTTTAAACACTAGAGAACAAAAGAACATCTGAAATTTAACTTCATTTCATGAAGTTAATTTTCATGAAGTTTAACCACATTACTTCCGTTATATTAGTATACAGGTGGAGTCCCTATCCTTGTGCAGCAACTTAAATGCTGTATGTTTAACAGATGTTAATATAATTACTTACAGTATCACATGGAAAGTACACCTTTTAGGAGTTTCATTTCTAAAGAGACTAACATGAGTGGAACATAGCAATAAGTCAGCTTTTCTCAAGACTAAAAATTATTTAATTGATATCTCCAGGTTTTTACCCTTTAAACTGCTCATTTGATTGTCCTGATTTTGGAAATGAGTTAGCCTTTAATGAGGCTCCTGACATTGTTTTTTCTTCCACAGTATGACTCTTCAAGAAAATTTAAAAACCACATCACATCAAGGGAGCTGGAAGCACTACCACACATACTTGAGAAGCATTAGATGTGCCTAGAATATATGGGAAAATTTATATTCATTATACTTTTGGACATCTTTTCTGCACTTCAGCTTGTCAAGCAAGGATATTCACAATGAATCCACAGTGAACTGGAAAAAAAGGCAAGATGTGCACATTCTGCCCATTCCTGAAACTAACACAAGTTTCGTGTCTACCTGGCCAAGAACAGCAGGCACCAGTGCTCCTGGATTACCACTAATCAAGTCTGCATTGCTCAGGAACCTCAGTGAAATCTTTGCTTTGGTTCCCTTACCTGCAATCTTACCATCTTTGTAAAGCCATTCCAGATAACATATACTGAGTAGGCACATATTTCTTATCAGATTACCAACCATATGAAGACTCAGTTTGTCTCAATATACCTTCTCAAATTCTTGCTTGCAGATTCTAAGCTCTTCGCTCAGCTTGGCACTTTCTTTTTCAAGTCTATTCTTTATTTCCTGGAGCTCTGTTGTTTTACATTTTTCATTAGCTAAGTCTTTTTCTTTCAAAATCTTGAAGAGAAATAATAAATACATAAAAAAATATTAAAAAGGCACTAAAGAAGCGATTTCCAAATTCACTCAGAGAAAAAAATAGTTTAGAACCCAAACCAATTGATTGCAAAAGGTCCAGGTAGGAAAACAATTGCCACATAACTGTATCTCTATCCACGATTAGTAGTGGAAACAATTAGCAGCATATTTACTGTTTTAGGTTTAAAACTAATAACGTTTTCCTGCATGTCTAGCCACTTAGTTCAAATTAACAGCTTATTTTAGAGCAAATTCACTCCAACTGTCTGTTAGCAGTTTTTGCACCACAGATTCAGTAAAATCGCTGTTGCTATGCTCTGCAACAGTGCCATGCCCCCAGAATAACCCTTGTTTAGAAATCCAGCAGGAATTAATGGAAAGGAGATGGGAGGGGAAATCTCTGAGTGTCTGTGTGAAGACTTCAAAAGACAGAGACATTTACCCTCTCATTCTGAAGATCCTGTAGCATTTTGGTCTTCTCGCCCAGTTGCTGCTCCTTCTTTGATGCATCCTGTTCCAGCGTTGACTTGGCTTTCTTCAGTTCCTGAATCTGCTGATTATTGCTGGCAATTCGATTTCTGCTGGAAACTAATTCTTCCTGAGCAAGAGCCAGTTTTTCTTCTGTGGACTAATTACAAAGACAGCTCTGCAGATTACCCAGCATGTACAAGAGCTTCAGATACTTGACACTCATCTAATCATTTTCCACTGGGAAAAACTGTCACCTACAATGCAATGCTTCACTTCAAAGGTTGACAACATATAACTACAGGAACTTCTAGGTCATGAGTTACACCTGGTAAAAAAGAAACTACCCAGAAATGTTTCCATCAATAATACCTTACCATACATATTCCAGTTTGCACCCTTCCACAGACAAAACACAAAAGCATATGAAAGTGCAAAGAAGGAAGGGTGATTGTTTGATGAAAAGAGAATGAGTTTGACTTTGTTTACTGTATAACCAAGATGTTATAATTTTGTATAACCAAGATGTTATAATTTGTATAACCAAGATGTTATAATTGCAATATAATCAAGAGAGTAAGGCAAAGTAGACAACGATCACAAAAGAGAATAAGTGGAAGAGCTTACCCTTGGGTTGAGCTCACCAGAAGATACCAAAAGAGGGGATCTCCAGAAGAGATCCTTCCCCTCTGGTAGCCAGCTCTTAAATAGGTCCAGGAGGGGTGGAGCCTGGCTCCACCCCTTCCGGCAGCACAGGTGAATTGCCTTCACCTGTGCTCCTCTGGCTGACTCAAGGCTCACCTCAGGTGATTAATCAGAGGTTCAAGCCGTGACTCAGCAGTTCCCATACAGTTTACACAAACTGAGTTTACTCTCAGGCTAAATCAACCACATTATAACTCTATACAGCTGTTACCTAAGTGGCACTGAAGCCATAGCATGAAGTTTTCAGAAGTCATCCAGTATTCCTTTTTTCCAGTGCCTTAAGGAAGCTAGCACTAACACAGTCACAAATTTTTATTAGAACCCTGAAGTGCAATGTACAACCTAAGAAGTGCTAATATTGGAACAAAATGCTTAGTAGTATCAGCTTCATCAGCATTTCAAACAAAAAATGTAATCTTCCATTCAAAATCTATTACTGACTGTAATTTTATTTGCTCATTTATTATTCAGTACTCCCCATTACACAGAAAACAAATTTGGATGTCTCTCTATATTTTGGTCACAGAAACTCAAGCAATAACCTAAAACTTGCTCCCAAGACTCATTCTATTCACTCACAGCAAAGTCAAACTTAGGAGCTCCTCTTAATTTACTATTCTCAAAGTGTTGTTCTTGGGTTTTTTTGAGCCTTTGGCTTAGGCATATGTTAGCTAACATGTAGAAGCGTGTTCTTTCAAAACGAAGCAATAAGAAATAAAATTTAAAAATTCATCTTCTACACCACTAAAATCTAGCTACTTTCTGGAAATATTTGATGTGAAGATACAGTGTGAGGTGGGGAGATTTATTATTAGTAAGCCATTTATTACCTTTAGTGCACCACTAAGGATTTCAATTATCATAATTATCTATTTTTGCTGATACTCTTCTTTCTAAATCCTAATTAAACTCCTTGTACTTATTGTTCCTTTTAAAAACCACTGAACTAAAACAACTTTGACTTAATTATACATCTGCTTTAGCAGCTCTCATCTTCATTTAAATACAAATCGATTTCTGATCTTTCCTAACCCTAATTTGTAGCGTCTGAAGCATTTTGCTGGAAAAAATCAGACTTAGTGGTGGAACACTGCCAGCATTCAGCCTACTCTGCATGGTACTATACACAAACATTTGTGCAATTCAGTAGTCTGTAATATAAGGGAGTCTAAATTTCGAGCACACTTAGCATACTACAGCTCCCATACAGCAAGTGACTTTTAATTGTGCTACGATTAGTAATAACACTACTGAGCTTAACTGGGACACCAGTTAATATAACTTTACCAGTCAATTCACCTTCTATTTATCAGTGCCATTCTTCCTGCTTTGCTCAAAAACCCCTCACAGCACCCTTTGGAAACAAGCAGAGATCTGACATACAGCTAACCATTCCAGTTATCCTGGTTCAGTCTCCATCAAGACTGTAGTTCAGCCTGATTCTTTTGGGCTGCTGAGGAGCTCACATCTCTAACGTAAAATCACTTCTCACAACATCTGATGCTATTCACCTTCATTATTCAGTTTTGGCATCGTTTCCAGAAAACAACAGGTGTGCTTCCAACACGTCATGAGATTGCTCTTTAGTAGGACAAAGAAAACAAAATGCTAGGAAAATGTACAGAACAAAAGGCAACCTGCATTTATTAGTGTGAATAAAAACAGATGTCAGTTTGGCTGGTATAGCTAAGAAGTCATCTCAGGTTGATCTTGTACAGGGCTGTACTGCAAGAACTAGCTGGTTCCCATGACCTGGATTCATCCCAAGACAGGTGCACAGATGAGCCAGTTTGGTCTGTGTGCCCCTCTCCTCCCTCCCTACCCAAAGAAGGGGCATGCAATTTCTCACTGATGTTAACCTAATGTTGCTTCATGTCTTCAGCAGTAGGATTAGACTGACTGTAGGCAACGTCTCCTGACTTACAGACCTGAGGTTTGGCACCACAGATACTCTCCCAGAACATCCACTGAAGACACACAGACAGCGATGCCAATGTTGGAGGCAAAGAAACATTCTTTTGAGAACACAGAAGAAACCAGGATCAACTACAAAAAGCACTGATGCCAAGACTGGAGAAGATTTGGCAGAGTTCAGGAGAGCAGAACACAGAGTATGTTTGCACTAACTCAAAACAAAGGAAGAAGTACTAGTTATGCATTTTCTTTAACTCTTGTAAATAGGCATTTCCAGAAAAAAAAGAAAATAGAATCCCACTTATATACATATATATATGCACATATATATAAACATAAAGTATAAATAGTGATATATTAAAAAACCATAGCTTTTACAAGCACTATAGTCATGCCTGATTTCTTTTTTCAGAGACAAAAAACACGAGTTTATTTACTGCTATAAAGATGCCTTTTTTAAACTGAACTAAACTTGCAGCACACAGTATCCGTAACATCATTCATTTTAGAATTTCCTACATTTCTCACTTTCTGCAAGTCCAACAGCTCCAAAGTTTGCATCTGCCTAAAACTACATAAACTATTTTCTATTTCTTTCAATCAGAAACTGCAGTTTTAAGGGGTTGTTCCTCATTCTGTGCTGACAGAATGCACAGAATAGACTGCTGTATGGGAGCTGCACTCTCCTGCCATGCTGCATCCCCAGCTGCAAAGCTTCACATGAGTGTTTCCTACTTTCTGCCACAGGGTAGCCGGGCAGCTCTCAGCCACCAGCCTGCAGTGACATGACAGCCACAAGCCAGCAGATGGTGCTCTGTGTACAGCCAGCTACTGCCATCCTCTCCCTGGAAGCCAGCTCACATCACCTGCTGTGCTTCACAGCCTTTTTTGATCTATCTTCACATCCAAGAATTCTGGCCTCACCAACAGCATGATGCTACACGAATTCAGAATATTTAAGCTTTGACTTCTGTTTTTTTTTTTTTTTTTTGAACTAAAGCAAGCCTAGCAATGCTGGCATTTTCCAAAACAGCCTAGCCATGCCTGGGCAAAACTGGGCTTCAAACTATGCTGACTAAACATAGCTGTGGAGCTATGGGACCTCATATCTCTACCAAAAATCCTGCACAAGTCACCTAAATTTACCTCATAAACAAGTTTTAAAAGCTTCAGCTACTGCCTATTAATAATATCACGTCCACTCTGAACCCTAGGGCCTCCTATCAGCATTCATTCTAAACTACCCAAAAATTCTTAGCTGTGGCTCAAATCTTAACTAAGCAAATCCTCTAAGTCTAAACAAATCACAGATAACTGATGTGGAACCAGACTGTGAAATTCTGCCATATGGTTCTTCTGACTTAAGCGATATTTACATATTCAGCTCCCAAAACAAACCTTCCTGAACACTTCCTTCTTCGCAGTCTTTGCAGACAAGTTATCACTACTACTTTCATTTAATATTGCAGTGAGACAGCACAGCCACAATTAAACATGTATTTCCATCATTTTTTTCCCTCTTCTAAATTTTACAGAAAAAAAAAAAAAAAACAAACAAAAAAACAACAGGAGCTGTGCCAAGAAAACCACACTAGCCCTAATTATTATGCATACATGCATAAATAACCAAGCAAACAGCCTCCAAAGTGGTACATCACCTCTGTGCTGAGGATACCAATCTTCCTCAGGCTCTCCAGCTTTCACAGATATTCCACATGATACATCATGTGGATGATTCAATGACAGGTACATAAAGGAGATATTTCTTTTTGTTAAAGTAACCCCAAATCTGGAATTTGGCTAGGCCTCCACAGCTCACATGGAGCTATCCAGAATGGCTCCAAGCTCTTAAATATTACAACGATGAGACTGAAGCACCTGCACTGGGACAGGTGAAAAGGAGCTACTCAATCTAAGCAGTCATCAAACAGAAACAGAAGCCAACATCTAAAATGGATGAGATGGCCAGATTTGCACAAGTGCCTACTGCTCTCCAAGAACTTCAGCAAAGCCTAAATCAACAGCGTCAGACATTGGCAATGAATCCCACTCAACTCTGCAAGTGAAAGGAGCCAAAGCCACACATCTCTGCAGCACAGCATGGCCTTTGACTAACTGGTTTATCACTATGGAGGAGGGAGGAACAAAGGAAAAGAACAAACACCTTTTTTTACTGATTCAATTCACAACAAGATCTTTTGGAAGGCATTAAATCCTAATACCAAATCAGGTAAATTCTGCTTCAGAATCGCAAAAATTTGAAGGACCACATTAGATATCTGCATTCCAGGCAGGTCCCTAAGCCTACTGTTTCTATTAGATTGACATCTCTGAAAGTCTACAATCAGCCAGGAAGAAGTGGAAGAGGCAAGGATATAGGAACAGACTAAAAACTAAAACTCTAGTCAGATTATCTAGAAGGCAGCAGTTACTCATGTTCTGTCAGCAACTTCGCTTTCATTAGCTATGCTATTTAAATTGGCTGAAAGCTACAAGAAAAACAAGAAAATTTCTTAAAATAATTTTTAAAAAATCAGCTTTCACTTTGCAGCTTATATTGCCATTGCTCAAATGGAAAGGTAGCTCAGGTGAACTAGCAAATACTCGAGGCTTGAAATAAATTTCACTGTGTTCTCTGGCCCACAAGAAGGGATTGAGCATCACTAAATTCTTTTTATAGAAAGGGACTTCTTTTCTTACCCCATACAGTTCTCACACTGTTTCTCTGTCTTCAGAAAGGATACTCACAGATGTATTAAGTCACACATAACATTAAAATGTCTCTAAGTACCTTAAGGTCTTGCCTGGTTGCCAACAGCTCAGACTCTTTCCCGTACAGATCCAGCTGCAGCTTTTCCATGTTTTCCTTATTTTTTTCATGGGTCTTCTGTAAGTCTGCTAGTTTTGCTTTCTCTGCTTTAAGCTCCTGAGCTGACAAAATAGTCTGCTGTTGCAGTTTATTCTCCAGTTCTGCCTGAAACATGAGCATAAAAAGTGCCAGTAAAAGTTAGACAGTAATCTTAACCATTTCAATAAACCACATTTCTACTGCAAAACTAATTTTTTTTTCCACTTACGAAACAGCAATTTAGTAATCTAATATTTACAGTTTTATAGCAATATTTTGTAACTAATTTAACAATACTTAATTCAAACCAGAAGATTAAGTTAAGCATAATAAGATCTAACATTGAAAATGTAAGTAAAATTTTAAGTCCTACATTTCCATAGTCCAACTAACACACAAGTTGGAACACGTAGCACAGGGCAGCCAAAGCTGGAGCAATATTTAACAGTGCATGGCACGCAACACAACATTCTCTCATGTTGGAAGACATTTGAACTCCTTCCATTATGGTTTATGGGTTTCATACTGTCACTCAGTTAAATTCTTTTGGTATAATAAAAGAGTTTAAAACTGCCACGGACATTCCAAAACACTGCAGAGTTTGTCTAAACCGCTCTTGCAAAACTTTCTACTGCTTTACAGGAAAAGAGCAGCTCTTGTTTCATAGCATCTTCCCGAAGCAACATAAAAATATTCAATCTAGCCTTTTTTTTTTTTTTAACCAATGTATTGAAACTCAGGTCCTACAGAATCTGTATATTTCAGCATCAACTTGGAAGACCTTGATTCCACATCCTGACCTTATCCTTCTGAACAAGACTACAGTAAATAGCTGTTTATCACAAAGACCTTGGCATAAAAGTTGCAGCATTTATCAGATAAATGTACATTAATTTTCTTAAAGGAGTATGAGACGCCAGCCTTACCTTTTCTAAAAGGGCAGTTTTTAATTCAGCTTGCAGCGTTTCACTATGTTTTTTCTTCTGCTCAAAAGATTCCTTTATCTCTCTCAGCTTTCCCTGAAGATGCTGCTCACTGTTCTCTTTCTCTTTCAGAAGACCCTGAATTTCCAGTACTTGCGCCCGTGTTGAGTCAAGTTCTATTGACAATTGCTTAGAGATCTATATTCAAAAATATGAAATAACTGTATATAATTTTAATTTAAATCACTATTTATACCTGTAACTGCCTATCGAACTGTGTGTTTTACAAACTGTACAGTTCAAATTGCAAACAGACAAATTCACAAATGAAAAACCTGTCAAAGCTGTTAAAGCTGAAGATATTGTCTCTGGCTCATCCAAAAGACTGCTACAAGTTGGGGAGCGTCCCCTGGTTGTAACTTGAAAGGTTACAAAGCCCTCTTCTATATCCCTCTGTGCATCTGCTGCTTTGCTCTGTACCAGGCAATATCTTTCTCATGAGTCAATATACTTGTTCTTACATTTTTTAAATAATCTGCAGGTTATCTGTAGCAGAGTTTCCAAGGATGCACTGTTTTCTGCATACAGAACCAGACTATCCCCCAGTGTCACTGCTGCTAACTCCTTCTTCAGAGCTAGATAATAAAGAACACTGACAACCAGATTCAGATTTTAAGAATATCTATACCAGAAAGATAACCTCTTGTTTTCAAGCTCCTACCCTTAGGTCAGTTCTGGTCTTTTTTTCCCCATTCAAAATTAAAAGCAAGTGGCTTTGTTCCAGCCAGTGGTGATCTGTGCTCTCCTGCTGCCAGCTGTAGCAGATACCAAACTCATCCTCCTGCACTTGCCACAGAGCACTGCAGTGCTTCTGCCAGAACAAGAGAGGAGACAGAAGCAGACACAGAGGAAGGGTCTGTCTGTAAGCATTACACCTGCACATCCACAAACCCTCTTTCAGGCAGCAAGAATCCACCACAGTTCAAAATGTGCCCACTGCTCATTAAGCTTTTCTGGTTCCTTTAAGGAAAAGGTGACAGTTTAGGTCAAGAAATTCATAAAAATGGACTTGGTCTTCAGCACACTGGCTGAACTAAATGATTTTGTCTGAATGCTCATCTTTAAAAATTTTACTTGGTATGTAGCCATAGGCAATTATAAAAGTTTGCAAAAGCAAACAAATCCCCAAGAATAAATGAAAATTTCCTGTAAACCTGTGGAACATATGGATTAGGCAACACAGTGATGCCCGAGTTGAAAACAGATCTAAGGATATAAAATAAACAATTCCATTGTTCACAGACCATAAGTTTGAAAGCAAATGAGGACACAGTAATAAAAAAATAACTGCTTCCATAATAAAGAAACTGCAGGGCCAAATTGGTATGTAGAGCACAGATAAGTAAGAGCAGAACCAGTATTTTAAATACATCTAGGAATTTTTTAGTATTACCTTATTTTAAAGTCCCAAATGGGTTACAATTTGAAAAGTGCAACTTTGTTATCCCTCAACAATCCCAGCATGAGAAACTGAAAATCAATCTTTTCAACATGTTATTACTCTTCTGATTTTTTTCATACTAAATAAGCAGACAGCTTACCCCCTCCTTTTTTTCCAGTGAGTTTTTCAATTCATTCCTCTCTTTAGCTACAGACTCTGTCTGTACCTGGAGCTGCTGTTTTATTTCTTGGTAAGATTTTTCCTATAAAAGAGAAGACACAAGCAAATATTTCTGGGAGCTTCTAAGACCAAATGCCAGGTATTTTCATAAGAGCTACAAAAGCCTTTATAGAGAATATTTGTGGTTGTTTCTTTTTCCAATGAAAATGCTTTCCTCCTCAGTTGTGAACATTTTCAGTTAAAAATTCCAGCCACTAACAGTGAGTATGTGTACTACTGCTGATAATACATATTTAAGGCAGCTGTGTGCCAAAAAGATTTTCTGATTAGGAAGTCTCCTTCGTGGAAGCTGCTATTGGCAGCCTTCTTCTTATAGCAAGCACTCATTTCTCTCTCAGAATTCAAAATTTCTTCATGTTCTAAAACTCATGAGCAAATACAATTGCAAGATTATGTGAACAAGAAGTCAGTGACGAGACTTCCAATGATTAGAAGCAGAATCAGACTGGAAAGTCTGAACTCAGAAGAAAAACCTTCAAGCTTTTAGGAAAAACAAATATTTAAATAGCAGCAACTACAGCAAGCAAAAAAGCTTACCTTAAAAAGGTGAAAGAGGAAAGGAAAAAGTGTTATTTTTAACTAGGAGCAGATTTATTTTTTAATCGAGTAGAATAAAAGTAGCTACATGTTGGTTCTGGGAAATGGGGACATGCAAGATATTTGAATATTTACTGATACAGTCATCAGTTGTATTTCCAGCAAAGCAAAAGGAGGAAGAAAAAAAAGGTATATTTTAAGGCTAGTAGGAGTCCATTCTTATCATAATACACTGTTTGGGTGAAGTATTTGTTACTATACTGCCATGTACTAGACTTCTCTGAAACTGAAATAATACATATATATGTGCTCATACATATATGTACTCTTAAGTTAGGCATCTCCCAAAACAACATGATGTTATTCTGGCTGCAGTATGCAGCTTTCTAGGATGTTCGGGCAAGTGCACAGGAAGGTTCTACATAAAAGGCTGTGGAAAGGAAACTAAAATGGCCTCTTCATTTTTCTTCAATACAGTGGCACTAATTAACTTCCATTCAGTCTCATCATATATATACTGTTTTCAGGCAGAAACTTGTTTTAATATCACACAATAAATACTTCAAACTTCATGTGTAATGAACAAAGCTACTAACCATTTCTGCTACAGTTGCTTTTCCTTTTTCTATTTCTTTTTCTAATTCTTCCTTCCTTTTTTTGAAGGATTCAGAACTTTTCGAGAGTTTCTCTTTGGTAGCTGTAAGGTCCTTTTGCAAAGTATCCTTCTCTAATTTCACCTGTTGCAGCTCCGATGTTGCTGCTTGCATTTTACAGTCTAATTCCTTGAGTTGTTTACTTGTATCTTGACTTGATTTCTCAAGATTTTTTTTGAGGCTGGCGTTTTCCTCCTCTTGCTTTGAGATTTGCTGTTTTGCTTGTTCAAGGGTCTCAGATTTCTTCTGTAAATCCAATTTAGCACTAGACATACTGCAAATACAAAACCAAAGAGAGAAAAATAAAAGATTTTTTAAGTTGTTCTTCACAGGTTCTTTGTATCACTAAACAACTCTATTTAAGAATATTAACTGTAGAACTAACTCAAAGAATGCCTTTTTATTTCAGAACGTGGGCATTTTTTTCTCTCTAGTGAAGACATATCAGCAACTCTAAACACTATTTTGAGATGGATTTTTCCTTCCTTAAATACTGTGAACAGGAACTACTCCTTTGCTTCTTATGCAAAAACTGCAAATTAATCTTTGAAAGATACAGAGCTGTGGATACATCAAGATGGATCTTAGCACTTCAAACTGTTCAGATATTTAACTGACAAGCACAGTGAATAAACTGGAATGCACTGAATCACAGCAGTGAGTGATTCACATGAGATGATGTGGCAGATGGAGTCTGCATGGCAAGTGAAGTGCAAGAAAACAACTGGGACCTAATTCAGATCTCATAGCAGAGGGAATACATCACTTTGGTCTATGATTTTATGAAATTACAGGAGGGAAGAACAAAATTTCAAGTGTACTCCAAACCACTCTAGCTCTATGTCCGACTTCAAAAACTACTACAACACAGGGAACACATACGCTTCTCTTTCTGCTTCAAGTTGTTTACTCAGCTCTGCTATTCGGAGGTCTAATTCTGTAGATTGCTGTCGCTGCTGCTGTAACTCCTGAAGAGCTTGGTCTTTGCTTGCTTTAGCATCAAGAATGTCAGCCTCAAGTTTCTGAGATAGAAAAATAGAAAAGTTAGAGCCATTGGAAAACAACCAATAAAACAGAAGTACTGTCACTCAGCAGTATTTACTGGAAAGTCCTTACTATAGAAAGCAGCGACAATTATCACACACTATCCATATCTTTCATTAGTTGGCCACTTGCCCTTCATTATTTAGTTCCTGCAACTCTTTCAATCCCCTAAAAGCAAGCTGTTTTGGTAAAACATTCTGAAATCACCTTTAAATTAAACACAAGCAGTTATTTTATTGCAAAGTAATAAATAATAAAGTAATAAAACACAGACATCTTTAAAAAGCCATTTAAAAAGCCAAGTGCTTGGCTTTGGTTCTCAGCTAGGTTCTTAGCTACCAACAGTTTCAGCAGTTTCAAATGACTACTGGTTTACATAGCCCCAACTCTGACATTCTTTGGTAACAACAAAGACATGAACTACAGCTATAAAGAAATACTGTTCTCATGTAAGAGAATGTATATTTTGTTTCATTTTTGAAGGTATTTGTTTATGTGGAATATAAACAGTACAGCAATCAGGTACTGCTTAGACTCTTCAACATGTTAGCTGTTTTATAGGCACTTCTGCTTTTATGCAGTGGTCACAATACAAAATCATCAAGCTCCTCTGAGAAAATTCCTGAGGATTTCTGCTGTTTGTCATGTGTTTTTTTCCTCCTTTTAAATACCATGCATTCATTCAACTGGAATAACACAAAGAATGGTGATGACATGAAGACTTTTACACACAATTGCATTCCTGTAGAAAGCATCAACAACCCTGCTCAGTTTCACACTTCACTACCAGGGACCTCATCAAATCTTGTGCAAGTAAACAATGTATTTATTCCTCCTAAGCATTTGAGTATATTGGTTACTCGCAAAACTTTGGCAATAGTATCAAAAACACAAATGAAAGCAGGTAGAAAAGCCCATAACTAGGAAAAGCACTCTCTAGACTGCTAATCTCCTTCAAAAAACAGAACATAGCACCACAAAAAAATTCTGCGCTGCTCCTAAGATCTCTCTATTATATGATTTTATGTATTGCAATTTTGACTCTCAAGAATGCTTAACAAGAAACAACGTTAAAATGTAAACCTCAAGTTTTAAAACACTGAAGTATTAGGAGTAATTTAATTCATAATTAGGACTAATTCATACCAATAATTAAAAACATTAGTATAGGAAAATGTCTAAAGGTTCTGTAAACTTGATGACGGGCAATGTAAGAGAAAAGCTAAGCCCAGGAATGGAATGCAAAATGCAAGATCAAACTAGCAGAAAAATATATAGAATTAAATTAAACCAAAAAGGTAGTATTAACTTGTGCTAACCAATGTAAGACACATTCCCTGGAGGCACTTGAAATGTGTATAAACCTGAAGACTGTAATTTCTGGAAGTAATCATGTTCCCCCTCACAGCACCTTCCAGGCATAGAGGTTGGTAGAAGCACACTAAAGGAAAGTGGCAGTATAAGGGAACTTAGTGTGGTACGCAAGCCCAGGAGAAGAGAATATGATTAAAGGGTGTATCAGTGAACACTGGTGAGAAAGAAAACCTATGGAAGTCATACTTCATATAAATCCTTCCTTGTAATCTGAGCCCAGCTTTTATCAAATATCACCAAGCAGCGGTGAACATCAGTCTCAGTAAGCTCAGACACTGTGTTCAATACAAACCTTAAGCTGTCCCTCTAGCTCTTCAGTTTTCTGTTCTAAATAAAGATGTTGCTCTTTGTAGTCTTTGAGATTGGCTTCCAGCTGAGCACAGTATTCCTGCTTGTCATTCAGCTTAGCCGTAACCTGATCCAACTGAACACTGACCTTATTTAACTCCTGAGGTAAAATAAAAATAAGAGGGTTGTTAGCTTCTAAATAGCTTCTAGGAATGAGTAATGTCCTTTGAATATATGCTTTGAGTGATCTAATATGTTAAAATTAAAAAGGAAAATGATGCTTCCTTTTTAATCTGAGAGGCAGGAAATTGAGATGGAAAAACACAAATAAATCCTCTTTGTTCAACACATCCCTCACTAAACTTTACAGGCTATGAGCTAGAGCTTAAAAAATGTGTTTGAAGTTATAAAGAGATGAGGAAATGTACGTCATAAATGCTCAAAATCCTGGAGTTAATACAGCAATAATTAGAATGCAACACTACAAAACCTTAGAGAAAACTCGATGTCTCCCAGGAACGAAGCACCGCCGAAGAGGAAAGCCTGCAGTATGGGAACAGTAAACTCTCCATACACCAAAGATAATTCCAGATCATTGGTTCAACACAAAACAGTGTGATTTCCACAGGAGACATAAAGATGTTTGCCTTGTAACCACTAAGAGAACAGCTACATCCAAGCTTCTTACTCTCCAAGCAAGCTGATATGTTTAATTATTAGTTAATTACGTGTTTAATGAACAGTTCCAAAAAGACATCTTATGTTTATGGCTAGTAATTATATTCCCACCTAAAAATTGGTGCCCTTAGGAAGTGCTGAATATTCAGCTGCTGAAAAAAGATGACAACAGCATGGATTCTAATAACGCAAATATTTGATTCAGCACCTGGTGGAATGCTGTAGTTGGATTAATGCAAACTAAAACATGCAATTTTAACAATCCTCATGTCTTCTTGTCAGCTGGCATGCAGATAATTATTTCTGAATAAAGACTTTTTGATTTTGAATGTATCTGAATCTGTAATAAAAGTTAACAGTTTTCAATTGAATCCAGTGCATTATATAAACTTTTCATAGCATACAAGTTAGAATTGTACTCAAATACCACAGCTCAGACCACAAACCATGGCTGAACATACAGCAGGGACTGGATTTCCAAGTTTAGTTCTTTACACTGCAAAATGCCCATATGGTCCAGATTACAGCAGAAAGAACAGAAAACACATCACATGGTTAAAATATCCTACAAGATTATTTCCAAATGCATAGTCACATATTTATGTAGTTTGTAATCAGACTATTCTTAGGTTTGTAAGTAGATTTTTAGGTAACACAGGAACTTTATGTTTGCGTGTTTCTCATAACCTGTTGCTTGTCTTGCAGTGCATGCTGGGCAGTGTCCAGATGATTCTGAAGGTCTGCTCTTTGAGCAGCTTTTGATGCTTCTGCTGAAAGCAGCAATTCAGTTTTTGCTTTTACCTGAAAGACAAGTTGTACTTCATTACAGTATCTATTATGAGTAACTTCATTAGCAGTTTTCATGTACTAATGGGAAAAAAAAAAGGGGAAGGGGAAATTTTTTCAAGTTTTAGAAAAAAAAAAATCAATGTGTTAAAACACAGTTAGCTCCTTCTTCAAGCTAAAAGCAGAATTAAAGAACAGTCCTATTCATATTCTTCTCTAGTGAATTATTTTTACATAGAAGCAAAAAAAAAAAAAAAAAAAAGGAATAGACAATGTATCCACACACACGTACCTTGATAACTTCACACTAAATGAATGTTTGAGATCCTCTAAAATTTTTAGAGGCAAAAGGAATTAAAAAATAACTAAAATATGCTGTTACGTGTATGCTGTCTTTCACTGTTACTAATGGCATTTCAGGGAGCAACCCCTCACTCCTTCCAAAATATCCAGCCACCCACATTTATACAGCAGCTATGAATGGTGTTGGTGCATAGAGGTAATTGTCAGGTCACTGACTACTGCAGCTTGCTATTTTCTATCTGTAACAGAAACATTACTTCTCAAAGGCTGTAGCAAAGCTCATATTGCCTTAAAAAGCAGATGCAACAGCCCATAAATTACTGTTTTAGCCCTGAAGTCTTGTTGAAGAACAATCCAGATCTTATAGCAAAGCCCAGCAAAAACATCACAGAACAACAGAAGTTATTAAACCTGCTCAGAAATTGAGTAACACTACTTAACAACACACTGTATTAATCAAACAACAGTGCTAGGTGTTTCAAGTGTATTAATTTAAGAAAACAATGTCTGCCAAACTTCTGATCAAAGCGTTGTTCATTCTTTGTGATACCTGAACAGAATTTACTGGTTTTAGTGTAATCAGTACTTAACTGTAGGAAAGTCCACACTGAGACTATAGTGGGGAATTGCCTTGTTTAATTCAATTGAATTGATAACAAGGCAACTTTTGTTTTGTTTTAGGTAAAAGCTACCAGCACAAGAAATTTCTAGGCAACAGCAACATCTTTAACGACTTGACAGATTTTCACTCTGATGCACAGAACCTAGGAGTGATAACAGCAGTTCTGTGGATGATTAACCATTACAAATACAACAAAAGATGCTTGAAGACAAATTCTCCCAACTTGATTATGAATTCCCACTACCACCATCAAAAATCACCTATCCAACAAAGAAACAAACAAACAAACAAAAAAAAAAAATCAACCTTGCTATCTATTCCTATTCTAAATCCACTTACATGTTCTGCATGTTTATCTGCCTTATCTTACTTTGTCTGCAAGCACAAACACGTAATTTTTTCCCAGATTGCTTTGTACATTCTCCAGAGAGAATACAGAAATCAGAACTGGATTTATCATTGCCAGGCAGCATAGAGTTCCATTACCTGTACATCAAGTTGTGATACTTTCTCTTTACTTTCATTTAGCTGACTGCTCAACTCAGTGATATTGGCTTCCAGAGAGAGCACACGGTCTTGAGCAGCTCTTAGATGTGCCTTCTGCTCCTGCACTTGCTCATGCAAATTCTCTTGGGCTTGTTTATGACTTTCTGATTGATTCTTCAGCTTCTCTGTCAGTTGAGTTACCTGTATTGAGGAGGCAAACAGAGACTGTAATAGGAGGAGCAAAAAAGTCATAAAACTTTGGAATTCTAGGGCATCTTATCACAGCTCCAGACTTCTAACTCTAACTATTACAGTAAAGCTATACTGTACAATATCAGAGTTTCAATAGGATACCAGTTAAAAATGGAAACAAAAGGGACTCATCAATTTAGCCTTACTCTGACAAAAAGCAGTAACTGAGAAAACAAAAGATGCAGACTAGACTGAATGTTAGTATGGAAAGCAGGAAATAAACCTGTTTTTGAAAAAGAAATATATGCATCCACTTTTTTAAAAGTATATTGTTACTGTACGTACGTAGGAAACACCTAGGAATTCTCTTCTCTTTGCTGATAGTGGGTAAGTTACCAAAATACATACAAAGAAACAGCAAAGTCTAGAAAAGATCAATGTCATATTTAACGAGAGAGGAATAATGTAGTTAAGATACAATAACGAAAAAGAGCAGAGGAACAGGTTTCTGAATTCTTACCTGTATTTGTAGTGCATGATTTTTCTCCTGTAGCTGTTTAAGAACTGCAGTTTCTCCTTCACCAGCTTGAATTTTCGCATACAAATCCTCTCTTTCCTTTTCAAGCAGAGAGATATTTTCCTTACTCTTTTGAAGCAAGGCCTCAAGATTTTGAATTTTTTGGTCCTTATCTCCAATTTGTCGTAGTACTTGCTCCAAATCATTCTGGAAAATTGCAGAACATCTTCCTTAATTATAGCCGCCTTAGGACTTATTCCTAATGCATAAAATGTTGGATAAACTTATTAAGCACCCTCTGTATATTCTATTTGAGATTTACCCACCAAGCTACCTAACTATTTTGAAGTCCCGTAAGCCACTTTTACAGAGAATACATACTGAAAATAATGAAAACCTGAAATATGCCTTTATGTGAGGCTATATAAGTAAGTTACCTGGGCTTCTCGAAGTTTAGATGTCGTGTTTTGTTGAAGCGTCTGCTGTTCCTGGTGCTGTTGTTTTGCCTTATCTAATTGATGTTGCAATTCTGTGGAGTTTGCCACCTTTTCCTTCAGCTGAGAGAAAAAAACACTCGTGAGTAAGCACCATTCAGTATTTCAATAGCATTCAGTGTTTATTCTAATGCCTGCAGTTTATTCTAAACAAGGATATATGAAAATTGGTGTAAAAATAGAAGTGTGTGAGTCTAAGTTAAAGAACAAAAATCTAACTCAAGCATTTCTTATTAATAGATGAGATCCTGAATCATAAGTGAAAACTATATAACTATCAGACATATGTATTTTAGTTCTCAAAAATAAGAGATAAAAAGAGATTTTAGTATGTTTTTTTTTCAACACTTGTTAAGATATAACATGGCTGATAATGCAAGTAACCTGTAAAACAACATTATTAGTAGTAGCAGTTTTAGTAGCAACTTCAGTTTAGTAGTCTCTCCTCTTTTATAGTAGTAGCTTTACAAATTCTGACAACATACCACTCAGATATTTGGCCAATCCCCATAGAAGTAGCAGAAAACCAGCAACACATATAAGACACTCATTAAAATAAATGAAAATGAATAAAAGCAAGCAATTTCTACCCATCCACCAGATAAAATTCATTAACTATCAGTGAGCTGTTGTGCCACGTTCACATTGTTTTCCATGGAGAGTTTCATCCCACAACAGTATCTACACACAAAGCATTACTTATGTGTGCTCAGGTGCACCTACATCTTTCTTTTATACAATTATTACACAAAGATCATCAATGTAAAGGAAGATCTTTCTTTTATCTCCAAAGTACCATGAACATACACGCATGAAATGAGCATTTAGACTTACAAAATCTGTAATGTAAAAGGCATTTAGGCAGATTTTGACAATTTCATTGTAAGACTTCAACAGTATTCGCCAAATGACACTCCTATAAGGAAAAAAAAAATCTATCAACTGCAACACAACAGCCATGGAGCGCATGCCTACACAATGAAAGTGCATGGAGTGCATTAGGAATAACTTCTAAGGTCGCTATAATAATAGCCATGACTATATACAGGCTATTATCAGAAACAGTATAAATAAAAGTTTGCAGAAAATGCTCCTACCTGTTCTTCAGCACGAGAAAGCTTCAACTGAAGATCAGCCACCTGCTGCTCTTTGTCCATCAGCTTTTCACTAGAGAGCTGCCTCTGCTCCTTAAGCCGCCCATGTGCTTCCCCCAGCTGGCGCTCTGTTTCCAGAAGCTTACTATGCAGCTGCAAAAGAAAATTTAAAATAAATAAATAAAGTTATCCATTCCTTCAGTCTTTAGCCAATTTAGATTCAATTTTGCCATGTTTGACCAAGAGTTTCATTAATTGGAATAAAACAACAACATAAGCTCCTGAGTTCATGAAGATACACCATATAATGCAGAAACAAATCACATCTAAGAACAGCATCAACTGCACAAGGATAAGTAAATATTCAAAGCAGTAGGTAGAAGGGACCTAGAAACATCCTCATTTATCTAGAGAAACCCTTCCATATCTGTTTCAAAGTTTTACCTGAAAAACAAATAGGGCAATCTTTGAAAGACATAAGAACTACTGTGTAAAAGAGCAAAGCTTTAGAGTGATCTCACCTTACATCTGAGTCGCACAGACTCAGTGGCCAGAACAACACACCTTCACCCACTGCACTGGTTCCAACAATACACTGTTCTGCATTGCTAGACTACTAACTAGGAGTTGGTAGTTTGATACAGGCATTCATTCAGTGCTGAGAAGACATGCATGAATCTGCTGTAGTGTGTACGCAGTAACATTGGTGGCTTACATTTCAGCACATCCCAGCAGGAGAGCCTAAGTCAGCACTTAGACTTGCTCATCCAGCCAGCTGTAAACCTCACTTGGAATTTTTGAGGTTATCAAAAGCAGTACTGCACAATTCACTGTCAGAGAAAAGCTTGTTCTATAAAATCAACTTTCCTTCCCTTCAGTTTACCTCCAAAGGTTCTCAGTTACCTCCTACCTACTTCTACATTAACAAATTTATGCCTACACAATGAAAGTTCAATTTGATGCAAAAACTGGGAGTGATCCAGTCATTGAAGCACAGCAAGCCATTTCCACAAATATCGACATTAATGATGCTCATTTTCTTATTAACTTACATCCAAGATATTTGTATCATTCACTCTGTACATTCAGGACCTCCCTCTAATATCACAGAATTGAAGAAAGGCTTGGGGTGGAAGGGACAAAGATCATCCAATTCCAACTCCCTCCCACGCACAAAGTTGCCAACAACTAAATCATGCTCTAGATGAGGCTGCTCAGGGTCTAACAAGCCTGGCCACAAACATCTCCAGTGATGAGGCATCCATAACTTCTCTGTTCCATCACCTAACCATTCTCTCAGTGAAAAATTTCCCCAACATCTAATGCAAATTTCTCCTCTTAGATAAAAACCACTTCTTCTTGTCCTATCATTATCTACTCATGTAAAAACTTTGTTTCCCTCCTGATTACAAATCCCCTTCAAGTACTGGAAGACTGCAATGAGGTCTCTCCTGAGCCTTCTCCAGGATAGCCTAGCAGGACAGAAACAAGGAACAGGGCTTTGATAACATTAAGTCTCGCCCCCAGGCACAGAGGGGGTGAGGCATGAACAGACTAAGACTCTCTCCTTTACCCAACTCTCTGCTTCCACAAAAGTGTAATGCTGAAGAACCCAACACTGAAAACCTTTCAATCATCTTTCAAAACTGACTGAAGTTATCACACAGCACAAAATTTACAGGGGACAGAGGAAGAGAATCAAATGCTTTATTTTCTTAGGAAACCAGGCTAAATCACATCCACCACCACAAACACTGCAAATGAAAAGGTGTTAAGCATGTGGTTGAAATACTAACTGTTTGAATTGGACTGCAGAACTAAGAGAGAGGTAGAAAATGAGGAAGGACAGAGCATAAAAAGCAAGAAAATTTGTCTTTTTCTGTGGTAATCACTGAATAATTAATACTTCCTCACTAGAAATACAAACAAGAGCCGAAGAAAAAAGTCTACCAAAGAAAAGGAGCAATGAGATCACTACAGAACTCATGGCAAAGTCTTGCCGCCTTTTTTCTTGTGAAACACTCAAGCAAAAGCAGCTATGCTACAGGGTATTCCAGCTTAGTTTAACAAAAAATATATTTGTAAAAGTAAACAAGAGTAACAGTGTATATTTGCAGCTAACATGTCTACAAGACTGAAGTAGTCCTTATTTTCCTATTCCCATTGCAGCGCTGGAACCAATACCATCATCAGGGCTTCCTTTCATTGTGAAGATCACTTCCTTTAGGTCATTCAGAATCTAAAATATACAAACTTCACCAGTGCTCAGAGAGGAGCACATGCAACTGAAAAACTACTGCATATTTTCAGAAATAAACTCAGGGCAGAAGTAAAATACTGGTCTGCTTTGCTTGAATACAAGCTTCCTTCTACTACTTACAACAGTAAGCATGCAAAAATGTCAACTGCTCATTGAAGACTGTAGGATAAAAACTGGTAATATTTAGAGAATCCCAGCTACTGGCTATAATAGCAGTCAGGCAGGTCAGCACTTTGAAGAAATACATAACTGCCAGGATTGCATCTGTGTGAATTTTGAGGAGATTCTTTGAAAATGTGGTTTGACTAAAAATCCTCATATCTGTCTTCATAAGCAGTATTACATTATGTCAACATAAGCTACTGAACTAGAAGTGGGAAAAGGTAACTTCACTGAAGTATCTTGTTAATGAATAAGAGCAGTTTGCTTTCACCATGACAGTAGTTACTGAACTCTTGTTTGCAGGGAAGGAGAGAGGAAAAGAAATATTTGCTTGATTTCACTCCTAATTTTATACCATGTGTGGAATGACTTCTTTTCCCAGCTATTCTATTACAACACAATTCTAAAACCCACCCTAAGATGCAGCAGCTTGTTTAGGTTTTCTCACTTAGACTGATCTCCTTCCCAGCAACATCCCTAGAGGACATGCAAGGCCTGCATTTCCTTTCACAGCAACTCATTTTTCATGATCCTTCTCCATTTGCCTACCTCAAAACTGTGTCCCAAAAAAGCCCTTACAATCTGAACCCAGATTTCAGCTCTAGTTCTTGGCTTTGCTTCTGAAGCTTGCATATGTGTTGCCTAGACACACTGAAGCAGTTTTACTAAACAAGGATTCCTAAGCAGATGACTAACATCTCTCCTTTCACTCATCAAAAAAGACTCAATGAAGAAGGAAAGACACTTCGAGGATGTAATAAATACACAAAGTTTTGCCAAGTCACTGTTCTTCCAAGATAAGCCATGCATGCATGGCTTGCAACTTAATCTGTTTTTGACTTGCTCAGATGCTTGAAAGCTGAGAAAATATTAAGATCAAGTGCATCATCCTAAAATAAATATATATATTTTTCCATCTTAGGACTGGACACTAATCCTGGTACACAAATATTTATCCAATTTAATATATTACTCTCCAAAGACATGAGATAAGACAGAGTTAAGCCAGTCTTGAATGTCTGTATGCTCAATGTTGTATGAAAGTCTTGCTTCCATAACTCACTGTACACAGCAGAACAATATTCAGATGGTGGAAGTGTTATGCTCTGGATGTTTTTGTGGCTGTAGACAACATAAAGAGAAGGTCTTTGTGGAGAGATGCAAGAGAAGCAACATTAAGACATCACATTATCCTTGTTCTTCACACTACATATTCTCTGCATTCAACAAATGTGAACAAATCAAGTATTGTTCAGTTCCACTGTAAAAAAGACAACTTTCACTTTTCTCAAGCTTCCTACAGAATATTTTCACTTCTAGTAGTAATCTCACTTCCTCTAATATTCTTCTCGACTTATGTTGGTTTTCCATAGCCTCAACTTATTAGAGATTCAGATACCTTACAAAATCAGAATACATGACTTTACTGATTTCTCAATAGTTGTCCATTACTATATTTGCCATGCAAAACCAGTATTCTTGATTGCATTCTCATTTGACAATATTTTCTTTATTTCAGTGAATTTTTACCTTTTGCATAAACAAAAAAAAAGGAGATGGGAAAAGTTGGAGGATGAAGGAGAAGTTCGTATAACCAGAAGGAGAGTGGACAAGCAATTCCTGTTAGATCAGCTAAAGCCTTATTTATTCACATATCAAAATAATTAATAAAAAAAAAAACAGCAAACTCCTATAACACAAGAAATCAGCTACAAACCTTAGGTGAACTCTTTTATCTTTAATATTCAAAATGGAAAGCTATTTGTTTAAAGACAATTCGACAGAACAGTTCCAGAACAGAATTCATAAGACTAGTTTCCCTTTCAGAGAAGGGGGGATTATACCATAGATAGATACACGTTACATCAGTATTCTCAGAAATAAAATGTAGAAAAGTGGTTGGATTAGTAGATCTCACTGAGTTTGGTTGTCATGCCACTGGGGTTACAAATGTGTTCATTTGCTTCCAGTGAGAGTTCAGGACAGCCAAAAGAAAAAAAAAAAAAAAAAACACTTCCACCACTCTTATCACAACTTCTTTTTGCCCATTCTTTTTTCACTTCTCTAAGGGGAAGAAGAGATTTATTCAAACACGAGTTATCTACTTGCATACTCCTCTTGAACAAAAAAAGGCACAGTTAAATAAAACCTAACAGGCCTGTTTAAGGACTGGTACCAACAGGAATTGTCTAGGGGGGTTTAAGGACTCTTACCTGACTGAGCTCGCTCTGGAGCTGCAAACCATGCTGCTCTTTTTCCTCTCTCTGCTGCTGAAGCTGTTTACATTCTGCCTTAAGATGCTGGTATTTTGTCTCTACTTCGGACAATTCTTCTTTAAGCTTCTGGCTTGCTTCTCCCTTCTCACCTAGCTCTGTCTGTAATCTCTGTATCGAGGCTTCAGATGCAGATAGCTTTGCCTGAAGCTGTTGGCAATCCAGGTCCTTCTGGTGAAAGCTTGCCTGAACACTCTTTTTGCTCACAGATAGCTCATTATGTTTTTCTTCTAGCTGGCTGTACTCCTGCTCCTTCTTCAGCAGCTTCTCAGTCAGATTCTACAAAGAGAGTGATACTGCAATTTAACTGCAATTCTGCTTACATCTGTTCAACACAATATTCAAACGTCTCCCAAGTGCTGATGCAGAACACAGCATTATTAAAGGAAATGTTGGTCTCTACGCCATGTTACATAAGTTAATTATGGAGCCCATATAGCACACAGTTACACCTGGAAATGCTGTTTTCATATTCTCACAAAAATCTTGTTTGTGAGAATACCACACAAAATCTATTTGTGTATCCTGAAAAATAATTGGCTTTCCCTGAAAGTTCAAATTCCAGGTTGTTACAATTGCCTTTGCTTGGGGAAAACACACACCGACACACACACAGACAACTTAAGAAGTTACTTACAGATAGTTTTCAGCTATTACATAATTTTAACCAATTTTCATAACCCAACCAAAACTGTATTCTGATAGAATTTAAGTATCTTATTTGACAATATATACCTCAAGAATGTTTAGGTTTTTCCTCAAGCTTAGCTGCAGCCTTCACTAGCATTTCAAACAGTGACAAAGAAGCCACAAAAACCATTTCAGTCTTCCATTGGCATTTGCTGAAGCACAGAAATACAGATGAAAGAAGGCCCTGGTCACCATCCAGCTTGGGTTACTCATTCTCTTCTTGAAGGGTACCAGGAAGTTCCATTTAGGTATCAGTAAGATACTGCAATGTCCCAGTGAAGCATTACTATGAATACCTATCAAAAAGCTTGTTCTTTCTGCAGTTTCAGAGACTACTGTATTCTCTTTAGCGACCCTTTAAATTAAAACGCAGAAACCAAAAAACCTTTCCAACAAATTAGCTTGAAAAAAATGACAACACTGAGGTCATTCTGATGTGTGAAGACTTCAGACAGCTCTGCAACTTTGCAGCAGCACTGTTCCAAGAAAAGAGAGAGCTGTAATTCTGGCTATGCTGGACACCTTAGAAGTGCATTTTCACACAGTACCCTGGGATGAAATCAATTTTGCCAGAAGAAAAAGCTGTAGTATTATTAAGTAAATTGAACTGATCTTTTGCTCTTTACAGTTTTTACAGATAACAACTATTTCGGTCATTGTAAACGACATACTGGCACTTTTATTTTACACTACTGATAAACAGAAGTACCTTTTTAAAAATAGAGGTTAGAAAACTATCTTGGAAATGCCAAATCTGGTATTCTACTAATCCATGTGAGAACAAATACATTTAATACTCTTAAGTGTCCATGTAAAAAAAGCAGACTTTCTAAAGCACACAACTCAGCCAAAAATTCTGTCTTAAGACTAAAGTTTGGTCACTGTATTTTAGCCCTCAGGTAGTATATTTCAAAATGCTTCTTGAAAAGCAGAACAACTTGTTGCTGTTACAGTACGTAGAACTTTTTCGTATAGGGATATCTAAACATATAAGTCATGTGCTCTCTTTACCCTGCTGATGTCAGTGACAAAGCTCACACTGCTTTGAATCTGAAATAAAGTTCCCTTTTCATTAAAGAAGAAAGGCCAACCAGGATGACTAACTAATATATACTAAGGATATACCAGGATATACCAAATATATACCAGGATGACTAACTATTTATACTAAATGGTGATCCTGAAATACCAACCAACACACCACAGTGCCTTTTTCATCAGAACAGGAGAAGGTAGAGATAAGCAATGAACATTACTAGTACTTCGTTATTGGGTCCATAGATCACACGTAGATTTGTGACATGTGAGCTACTTCACCTTCTCAGTACAAGTTATTCAAAGGACAGCCAAAAGCAGCAGCTACATGTAGTTCAAGATGATGACACTGAATTCTGTGCTACTCTCTTCCTCCCTGGTAGGTTAAACAATACAACAGGGAACAATCATGTTTAAATCTGCAGGGCTGTGTCAGCAGGCTACAACCCAGAGCTTCCACCTCTGAAAGATTAACAGCTTATATAGCTGACAAAGTCACAGCCATTGCCACATACTCAAGAGGCTGAGTTACCTTCATATGTGACTGAAATACACAAGGAATCTTGACAACACATACTTTGGCAGCTCTGTGGCCTCATTCAGTTTGTATCAGTGGACCCAGCAGCATTTCCTGTTTGAATGCACCCCAGATAATAAAGGGATATATGGGCACACATCAGCTGCCCCTTTCCCAAGGCTTGTTTTCCAGCACACTACAAAGCCCTGAGCCTTCATATCACAAGATACAAGCTGAAACACAATCCCTTTTTTCATGCTACTCCATGGATACATGCAAAAAGAACATAACATATATGTGTGCAGTCATAGTGAATAGGCCTTAAAGAATAAACACTGTGGTGACTGACTGAATTTCAAAACAGTTACACCAGTAGAAGGTTGGAAACCAAGCATTTTTCCATGTAGATAATGCATCACAACCTTCCTAAAAGAAAACAAAAGAACCCACATTTGATGCATTTGGAATTACAGCAAGTCTTACACTTCAAGGTATACCATACACTGCTTTTTTCATGTTAGGCCTCCTCCGGGCCATTTCTGGCCTCTAAAGTAATGTCTGGCTGTGCAAAACAAGCCAGGCCCCATAATTACAGTATTCTGTAAGTGAAGGGAAGTCAGTTCCTGATGGTCTCATAAAACTGATCTCATGTATTTGTCATCTCTCTTCTCAGTATAGCTCCTAAAATAAATGAAACAGCCTGCTTGCTTGAAGTTTTATGTGATTTGGAAAACTCTGCACCAAAGTACTGAGATATCTTCCTGCATTGCAGTGAATTACAAAAGGATGTACACAGCGAAACGCCAGGTACTCTGTCCAGTATCAGTAGCACGTCCTGCCTCCCTGACAGCTTCTTCAAGGAGCGTGCCCTGCTCAAAGGGGGAGCAATTTCTATTATTTGGAAAGCCAGTCTCACATTTTCCAATTCTAAATCCAAGTTCCCCAATGCCAGGATTCCTTGGTTAGCATATTACAAGCTGCATAAAGAGATGGATGTAAATTGCTTTTATTTGCTGAAACTGGAAGTAGTTCAGTGCCATTTCTGATCACATTCACCAGTTGGTGTTTGGCATTAACCTGACATAGCAGAAGAGTCTCTCATAAAAGTATGAGTACCTTACTCATCAATCTGTTTCACTTCATGTTGTTAATTGAACAGCAACAGATTCAGACAAGTTCTTTGTTCTCTATAGCAATAATTTTGCCAAAAGCTTGATTAAATGTTGTTAATCTGTGTAAAAGAGCAGCATGACAATGCTCACTAGCTCAGTCCTGCAATTAATTTTGTAAGTCAAATCAAGAATCATCCTATCAAATTTTAATTGCACTCTATTATATCTTTGTAAATGCTATTAAGTATTCCCCCCCTTGACTGGCAAGATTGCTGCTGAATACATATGTAATGTTCACTATAACATAATGTTATATATACATGCACACAATAACCAATATGCATATTTTTCTCTGTTTCCTTTCATTTCTTACAAACACAAAATACAAAATTGTACCAAGTTCAGAAGGCTTTAATTAAAGCTCTCAATGAATAGTTATCAGCTAAAAATCTTCTGAAGTTTATCTTAGTTTTCTGTTGTTCATTTTTCTGATAAAAGGCCAGAAAATATGACACCGATACAATCTAAAAGTGAAGGAATTGGAAGACAAATACAGAGATCTCATCTTCTGAATTACAATTTCTGGGAACTATCATAATATTTTGATGGATATTGCTTTAATCTTTCAATGAGTGAGAAGTCAAAACTGTTAATGCTCACATATCTTTAAACTGCAGCTATTAGAAACCTGCAATCTTAACAACCCTTAGGAATTACACTGAAATGTACCAATACCACTTAAAAATATTGTTCACTTGTACATTACAAAATTCTTCGAGTCAAGCAAAAAGGGGATAGGAATTCTCAACTTCTACAACACAAAGAAGTGTTTTGTTACAGTCTTCAGCATGTACCAAGGCAATGTGTGATGTTTCCATTTTAATGTGAAATGACAAATGTAGGAAATAACAGCATTCTCACCTGGTTTTTCTGTTCTAGCTCCTTGACTAAACTTTGAAGTTTTTGCAGCTCCTGAACATATACAGCTACCTCCTGAGGTCCTTTGGCAAGTTCAGCTCTTAACTGGTTAATGGTAGCCTGGACAGATGGACAGAAAATCCATAATTAAAACAAAATTTTGCGTAACTCAAACAAAATAGCAAAATAAAAAAACCGCCCTTACCTGCATTAAAAACAAAAACTAAACAAAAAAAAAAAAACAACTATCCACAAACTCATCTCAGAGTATTGTCAGCTACAGAAACATCAATGATTTCCCAGCCGAGATTCATTCAAGACTAGAATTTCCCCAGCAGAAAATGCCAGGTTGGGCCCGCAGGCGATGAAAAATCACAGCATATTATTCATTATTATCCATTAACCACTATCACAGTTTCAGCTTGAGGTAAAGCCCTCCCCAATTCCAAGTCATTGGGATAATACATACTAGAATAATGCACTAGAAAAGGCAGTAAAAGTTCCAAGCCTGGACTGTGATGCAAACTTGGTGTGCAACTTTTGGATACACTGACCCTATGAGCATAATCAGGGTAACAAATGCTAACTCTTCAAACAGGATTGGTACACAACAGAAGAGATTAACGACTACATCATATTTGTACACAGCAATGAAAGCAAACCAGAAAAGCACTTCTGGGTAACAACTGCCCCAAAGCACACTGTGCTGGAGTTAATGAGAAACGTTATCATTATTTCAGTCACTCTATGTCCATTCCTCCTGCAGACTTCTCATATCTTCTTAGAAAATTTTAAGAGTAAAAAATAAACATTTCTGAAGCCTGATCTATCCACACATAATTAAAAAATGTAGACACTGATCCATATGCTGGACAGCAAAGGTAATTGTTTTTAACAGAAGGTTAATGAATACTGAGTTATCTGAATAAAATGTATTTGTAGCATGCTACTCAGAAGCACAGGTACTTCCGGGACTTCTACTTGCTATTAATGCTCTGCTGCTTCTTGATAAACACACGGAAGAATAGTTTCCTTGCATATTTGTAATACAAAAAATAAAATGTTCTGTATGAATGCATTCATGTTGACTATAGTATTTCATAACAATCATTTCAAAGAAGGTTTTCTCCCACTGTTTTCAAAAGAACAGATTTCAGCAAGAAATAAATACTAAATTCCAGAATGAAGTAAAGATCAGAAGTAGCAGACAAAAAATATCCCATTTACAACCTTTTTACATAAAGATGTAGACCAAACAGAAGATATGAATGCATTTTTTGTATGACTACATATTGTTACTAACACTCAAGTTTTGTAATGCTGTTCTTTATACGGTTATTTTGTTACAAAGCTGTTAGTAAGAATATATCCTGGGATCTGTCTGGGATGGACAAGCAATCCAAGATGTTCCTAAGAAACAGAGCATGGATATTTCACAAGTGAGAGAATATGGTGCAGAAGACATCCAGAAGCCTTCTAAGGTTACTAATACATAATTTATGTGCATTTCTCTCAATCACAAATCAAAAACCTTACCTATATTTCACTCTTAAAATAGAAATGTATGATGGATGAATATTCATTCCAGTACTGCCTGGTTGATATTTATTAATGCAATTAATGAAACTAACCAAATAGGAAAGCATCTATGTATCAACCTCTTAGCATTATCTCAATACAATAGAAATTGTACACGTAGAAATATGTAGCAATAGCAAGCTTTCAAAAAAAATTTACCTCACATTTAAGTGTCTCCATTAGAAAGCAGAAAAAAATAAAAGGGGTGAATGAAAGATGGAAATGAGCAGTGACAAAGCCATTCATTCATACATTGTTGTCAAATATTGCCTATGCTTTGTTTGAAAAAAAAAAATAAATGAAGAAAAAGAAAGAAAAAAAAGCCAGACTTGGCTTTATCAAGTTCATCCATAATTTAATCTACTAATCTTGCCTAGGGTTTAATACTCCTGGCACTGAACATAGCAATCTGTAGAAACATTTATCAGATGCTGAAACAAATCCCAAACTGCAGAAACACCAAGCTCTGCAGCAGTGCAGCTGTTTTCATAATTTGCTCACTATGTAGAATTCCCTACAGTGAGAAACCAAATGTGAAATGAGTATCTCAGAACGAACATTCATCTCACATAACTGGACGCCACACTTTCAGCTGCAAATCTGAAACAAAGCATAATACTCCACAAAAGAAAAAGACAAAAATGGACACACTTAGGTGACAACTGCAGAGCTATGCAACTATTTGCATGTTTTCTTTCTCCTGTAGCATTTAAAGGTACTCATACAGAGTTAAGACAATCGTTACTCTCCAGAAGTCTCATTATAAAGAAGCTTTGCTGTGGAAACCAATATTAATACACATTGCCATAGCCACCCCAGTGTAACGGCCTAGGAATTACTTTACTCTTGGTCTTAAAAGTGCAAAGCTGAAATGAAACGAGCAAACTTTTATGTCCAGAACTGTACAATTTTAACAAGACAAGACTTCCATTTCTTGTTTTCTTATGGCTAATACTTTTCACAAGTGTGCTTTTGTTCTGTTTGGTTTTTTTTTTTAAAGTAAAGATGTTTTCACCGCAAGGACTTCAAGTAAATTTAAGTTTAACCTTTCACTTTGCAGCAACAATAAAACTTAGATTTTGACTATGTCTTTCTACCTATGTCTTATACCATTGCTGCCATAAGTTTAATTAAGCGGAGAAGACTAACACTTCTAAGAATCAATCTGCCACTGCTCACTGCATTCTACCATGCAGCAACTCAGCCCTCTCTGGTTCAGTCTGTGTACTGAGGATAGTACACAGACATCTGATATTATCATAATTACACTGTAATTTATAAACTTTGCACACATCTAAGATTTCTTAGATTGTTCTGGGAGCAGCTGGGAGTGCTGCGTGGTCTTCTCTCCTAATCTGCTGTTACTTCCACCAGAAATGAAAAACATCATCATTTGTAATTTTTTTCCTGTTAAAAGCTGCACTTTAAAGTGAAATTTTATTATGGTTAGTTATGTCAAAGCTTAAATATACCTTATTTGAGTGAACAGAAGCAATTTACATTGCTGTGTCTCAAGATTGTAGATTTTTGTTATGCCTACATCACTATGTCATTTTATCTTCACATGAAAACTAAATACAATATCCAAAACCACAGGGACTACAAAGACAGTGTTTTGAAACAAAATTTAAATTCTGCAGCACGGTTGTGGGATCTCAAAGTTAAAACCAAATTACAGTTATGCAGCAACTTACATGGCCACATAACCACATCACACTCATAACTCCAACTGTGATATTCCTTTTTTCTTGTCAAATGAAGCTCTTGGCATACATACTTTTAACTTGAAAACAATTGTAGATTCATGTTTAGTACAAAATTGTAGTCTTGTACAATTCCTGGAGCTCCACATATCTGTTGGAGAATTCAGGGGAAGGCAGGAGGGAAAGCCCTAAGGAGTTCAGAATAACAAGGGCAGATCTTCTCTAAAGCTCTGCAGTATAAATTAAGAAACAGAAGATAAAACTGCTGTTCTGAAATCTAGGGCACGTGAAAGCCCACGATAACAAGATGCCAGAATTTCTTCACATTCCGAAATATCAGCAGGATGGAGGATACAACAAGTTCTACAGGAACTCTAAGCATGCCCTCCTGTAAAAAGGGGTATTCTGCATGGAAACAATTTTACTCAGAACCACAGTTCTGCCTTGTTTTGTTTGTCTTTGCAGTCGTGTGGGACAACAGAGAAGGGAGGTATAAAGGTTTCAAACATGGGTAACAAAGCCTTTCAGTGTCAAATTGTTTCTTAGTAAAGATATACCAAACAACATTCTAGTGAGAGGCAGCAACACCCAACAACAGAATTCTTATGCAAGTACAGATTCACCAGGCCCCCAGTAATTCTGATTAACACCATCATTCTGATTAACAACTGTTTTTATCCACATGAAGCTCTAAAAGAGAAAAAAATATTGAATCACACAAGCACTGCTCTACTTCTCTCTCTAAGCAGAAATAGTTCTACCAGAAGGTCTTTAGCTCTGTAGTAACTTCTCATGCCAAGAAAAGGTTTTGCAAGAAAACGCCTGGGGACTTTTTCAAGTGTCAATACTGACAGAACTATGCAATTTACTGTAATAAATAGACACGTCTCTCAGGTAAGTTAGAAGAGATTCTGTTAAGAAAAAAGCTTTGTCATTGTGATCAATAGTTCCCATTTTCAAATGAAAAAAATAATAAAGCAAAGAATACACACATCTTATGGTATGACTATTACCTCTGAGTTTGCCTTCTCTGCCTGCAAGTGCTTGCACTCATCTTTCAGCTTTTCAGATTCTCTCTCACATTCCAAAGTCATTTTGTCCATCAGTGTCTGAACTTGGACCAGTTCCTTTTTAAGAACAGCCACATCTTCCACACCAGGCCTTTGTAGCTGAAAAGCAGAAAAGTAAGAGTGAGGTACATGATATTCATAGATAAACTTCCAGCATCAATTTCACTTCTAAAAATCTTTCAAACTAAGTTACAGACAACATGAGATAGACAGTATTATGGCTGGAACAACAAGAAAACAAACAAATAATGTACAATTTCTAAAGGAAATGGGTTTTTAATGTCTGATTGTCAGTTTTTGCCTATTAAACATTGAACAAGTTGACCCATTTCAACCAATTCTGGCAAAAAAGAGACATAAAATAATTGACTACAGACTTTTAAAACAATACTGTCTCTGAAAACATCACAAACAGATGAAAAGTGGCCAAAAGGAGACATTTTTCAGGACTTGTCAAAATACTTCACATTAGACATATAGGTAAATCCACTAGTAATTACATCTGAAGTCCTAAAAAGTCCTTCCAACGGAAAAGCTATGGAAGAAAGGGAGTAGGAGCATTGAAGCATTGAGCATTGAAGAAAGAAAAGTAAGTGTTGGTAGCTAGAGAAAAAGTACTGGAAAACAAAAGGAAGGAAAAAAGAAGACAAGAAACCAACAAAACAGGTAGAGGAATAGACAGGTCCAGTGTCTGATCAGGACCAAGAGGAACTTATGAGTATTTGCCAGCAGCTGACTACAGGGAAGAAGGTAGATAAATGCCATTCCTGCTGTCTTCCAGAGCATGTGCAGTAGAAGACAAACAAGAAGTTAGGAAGTCCTTTAGCAACAGCTCTGGAAGTAGTATGACTGCTGAGTCACTGAGATCACTCCCTGGAGCCAAGTCACCACGAGCCAAAATCCTGGAATACACACGTCAGTATCATCAGCCAAGAAGATGACAGTAAACATTAACATAGGCATGGTGATGACAGCTGCCAGCCTTTTAGCTACCATGCCACAAAACACCACTCCAGGCAGTCCTTACGAGCACAGCTGTCCAGGCACAGGCATAGCATAACACCTCATGGAAAATGAGTGATCTTAAGACAGCTTCTGGTGTCAGCGATGGCATTCACCAAGTGCAGGACCGACTGCATAACACATCCAGAGCTGGATTACTCTGCAAATTTCCTCAAGTGGGGCATCAAACGAGCAGATTACAAAATACCATATGGTAAATGTTAATACACAAGGTAATATACACTGGAAAAATATTGAAAAATATGGCATTCTAAATCTCTTTTCAACCCACAATCAGACGTCCAATATCAACAGTTAGGCTACTTTTAAACTGTAATTGTTTAGGAAAGCATATGCTCAATTGCCTGAAAATAACAAAAACATTTATAGTGTGATGTGAATACCAGCTCTGTCTTTAAGTCTTCTATGGTACTTCTCTCCTTCAGTAGTTCCTGTGTTAGGTTTGTCATTTTCTGTTCTGCACCTTCCCGAAGGCTGATTTCTTCATCATATTTTGCTTTAAGATCTAATTAAGAAGGAAGTTCAATAAATAATCACTTGCACAAGTTGCACAAGTTGAGAACAGAATCAGACCACATATTAACATACTCACCCACAATTTCAGTGGCCAGTTGTGCTGCTTTTTGCTCAAATAAGTCTTTCATTTGCTTAATATTAAAATTTTCTACTTGGATCTCTTCTAGTTGCCGTTCTAATGATTCTATTTCCATAAAAAGAACAGTATTACTTCCTGGAATAGCTAGGATAAGGTTGTACAGTTACTTATATCAATAACAAACCACAGTAGATAAAAAATTAATTTAAGTTCACTTAGCTAATCCAATTAACTTAGTAAAGTGAGCAACTTCACTGAAGAATCTACAAGCATGATACTGAAACCTGTCACTGGCAGAGTACTATGCAGGATTAAGTAGATATTGGTTTTCACCAGTCACTAATAGCCCTTGAGAGCACTGTAACATTCTGCTGAATTCCAAACCCTGACCTGTGATTAAAAGTTCTTTAATCACAATCAGTCAGATCCTTTTTGGACACATAAAATCTTATCTTGTGAGTGCCTAGAGAAAATGAAACATGAAGCAAAAATTATTGGCCTGGAAAACAAAAGTGACAAAATTCATCGGCTTCCTTGCTAGTAATTAATACAAAAGAGCACTGAATAAAACAAGCACTGACAAATGCTACAGTTTGAATGTCAAAAACCATGGTCCTTCTCAGCAAAAGACTCGAATTAAACACTTGAATATATGAAATTATTAAAAACATGTTCAAAACTATTAATAGATACTGCTTTTACAGTGAGAACTCCTTTCTTACTTCTACAAATTACAGACCCCAAGCTTCCGTACATTTCTCCACACTATAGCTGTCCTAAGCACTTGCAATTAGCTTTGTTTTTTTTCCAGTAATAGTGCTTTCACAGCATGGTAGGTCTTTAGTTCACCAAAAGTGCTTTTTCATTTGTCTAAAAGCTACCCTAAACAAAACTCCAGAGATCCCGAAACAGTGCAGAATTTAATACAATAAAAGGTTAGCCACCTGTAGATGTAGATGTTGTCAATCCATCAGACTTAGAATCCTTAAGAAAACAGAAGGACAAATGCAACATTAGACAGAAGGAATTAAAGCTACTACTTCAGAAGTTCATCCCACTTTTGGAAAAGACAGAAGTAAAGACTTCTTTGCTCACATAACGCACAGTAGTACAAATTTCCAACAGTTGAATCTGGAAGACTGAAAAAGGCCAAGACAATTTTCCGTTTCTTTATCACTACACTGTCTAACTTTCAGGCTTGCAAGGCTCCAGTAACAAACCCCTCCCCTTCACTTTCCTCAATATTGAAATCTGACTTAAAACACAGACATTATATTAAATACATCTGAAAAGGCACTCTGTCAGAATGTAATTTCCAATGTTTAGAACAATCCAGTGTCTAAGAAGCTCATAGTAACAAAAGAAGTGTTTCCCTAAGGACAACATTTTATAAGTTCACTTAAATTGTTTGTTCAGTTCATCTTTACTGTGAAGTCACACTACTTACTGTTCTCCTCCCCTCTTTTTTTTTTTGTTTGCTTTTTTGAGGGTTTGGGGTTTTTTGTTTGTTTTTTACAACTAACACCTTATTGCCCTTTCTCAAAGCAGGTGAAACATCACATTCAAACTGAGTTCTGAATAAGCCCAACAGAAAAATCTGAACAGAACTTATAGTAAGCACTACCATTACCCACTCCAGTAGTTTTCTTCAGATTTATCTGGTTGATGTGGAGAGACAACTAGCTTTGTTTTCAAGAACATGACAATATTCAAGTCACAGAACTAACTAAATCAGGCCACGTGCCTTACAGAAAGGTATTAATCTTCAATGTCAATGCTGATGATAAACCTGCTTCAAGTATTTTAAAGCAATTACTTGCTGCTGCTGCCCCTGCAATTTCTCTAGTTCTTTCTTCAGCTCTTCTGAATACCATCTTTCCTCCTAGAAAGTAAAAAAAGAAATAGAGAAAAAGAGAACTGTAAATTTGGTTGCTTGAGATAGCAGCATGTTTTGCAATTTGAAACAAAAAACCACATGCAAGTAAAATACATGTCCAACCTTCAGCGAAGCTTGCAAGTCTTGTACTTCTTGTCGGAGCAGTGATACTTCATCTCTGAATAAATACATCCACAGAGTGGAGAAAATGAATATGCAGTAGTTATATTTTGTCAATTACATAGAAATTCTAAATTATATTAGATAACTGGAAGACAGTAATAGACACATTCTATAAACATAATTTAAATAATAGTTATTTTCTATTTTTTGAAAATTGGAAGAAAGTGGAATTATAGACACTTATTAGTTCACTTTGGATATCACCTGAACAATGCTAAAACATTAACAGTATAAGTAAAGAAAAGGATATGTAAAAAGTCTCATGAAAATAAACTGCAAATCTAATTCAGTTCATCAACTTAACCACAAGTCAAAATGCAAAGCTGGGCACTGGCACGTTTAATATTCTATATGCCTTTTTGTGGAAGGGACAGGCCTAATGTCCTTCACTTCCCATATCACGAGGAACACTGCTAAGAGACAGCATGTGACTTTACTCCTTTTGAAGTATGTAGCTACATAATGTTTTTTACCCACACAGCAATTCAGTATGCCCCATATATGCACTCAATGAATGGTCTGAATACTTAAGGCCTTGGGATTTTAAATTCTCAAATTGAGCCATTCAAGAACACAAGATTCAAGGCTAAAATTGTTACTAGCTGCACCCTTCTAAATCTCAGGTCTCCTTAAAGAATTGTGTAACTATACAGATGAGTTATATCACTCAGATACAGTCACTCCAAATGCAAACACATCCCTTCCTATTGCTTATACAGCAGCAGCACAGAGGCACACAGAACATGTATGTGTGTGGGTGTCAATACCAACATATTCTGTTTTATACCAAACAGTTTTACAGCTCCTGTGCTGCATTATCCCCTCCTCCACAGATGTTCTTTAAAACTGTCTCATACTTAGAAGAAAAACAAAACAACCTACTCCTTAGCTAAACCACAACAGAAAAAATTCAGCCTTCATTTCATATTAACCACAGGGTCATCAAGAATGTAGTGAAACACATACACTTGAACCAATGAAGAACTCCAAGGCTGACCAATTTTAATGGCCAAATGAATGCAGACATGTTGGAAAGATAATTTTTGCAGAAGATCTTCTGCTATTTACACATTACTTGTCCTGTGAGAGATAAACTGGAGGTTCCTAAATAAAACTATAATGAGACAGGTATAACTGCTACTCAAAACCCACGTATCGTTTGAGCTTTCTCACAAGCATTAAGTAAACCAGCAAACATTCACGCCTTAGATTATAAATGAAATCTTAGGCAGGTGAAACACGGTTAATAATACTGAAGCTAGGGCCGAACACGCACCAGATCAGCAGTATTAAAGTATTTACTACGCTCTAGATTGTACAATTTTGAGCTACATAAAAGTAACTTGTAATTGAGAGGAAGAACAAGGGGATGAGATGGGGAAAAAATGAAAGTATTCTACTGTAGTTTTTTCAGTATTCACCAACATTGCTCTGCTTGACAATTTTAAGACAAAACCTAAATTTGACTTACCTGTCCAGCAAAGAATGATTAGGAAAAAAGTAATGAATCACTCTAGAAGTGTACATGTTTTCTTTCTTACTGCCACCCAAATCCTCCCTCAATCTCCCTTTCTCCTAGCGCTGTTAAAATTCCATTTTAACTCCTGAACCTCGCCATTCAGCCAATATCTGCTACATTTTCCTCATGCTTCTCTCTAATCCTCAGTGCTGGTGCCTCCATCCAGGCACTGCGTACCAGCGGTCCAGCTAAACTGCACTGGGGAGAGTTGCATGATCTGTTCTTGGCACTATTAACAGTACTTTAATGGCAAGGGGGCTGAACAGACAAAGTAATTCATCATAACTAGCCTCCCTGCTGACTAAATAAGGAACTACACAGCCCAATCTTGGTCATATGGATCACATGCAAACTTTACCCCTAGAGCACTAACAGAGTGCACCCCTGCTGCAGGTCAGAGCATTACTTTAATGCAGTATTCTGAGTATTAAAAAAACATGTTTACATTGAATATGAGTTTTCTCAAGCAAGCGTGCAACTGAGAAACATTAAAGAAATGTCACACTAGCAGGAAGAAATAGCTCATGTGTTACACAACAGCTCTGACCAGCCTCCCCATGCTCCATCCAACTCCCTGACCTTGTCCACTTATTGAATTACAGGAGAGAGAACAAAACCACTTGTCCTTAAACTGTCAAGAGGCAGAAAAAAACATTAAATTGCACCAGCCGACATCTGGTTGACATTGGAAACTCGCAGGCATAGAAATAAATCTTCCATAAACTATATACACAATATAGTTATGACCAATAATTCCCCCACGTGGATGCTATTGTTCTACTACGAGTTACCATTTCAAGTTTAAGTTACATTGCTCTGAAAAGGTTTAAATCAGAGAAAAAATACTTACTCTTGAGTAAATGTGTACACAGGAAACCCAATATAACCCTGCTACTATGATATTATTTCTTCATATATAAGCCTGAATTTCAATTTCTTTACTTCTCCCCTGGCTATACAATTCCCTTTCTTTCAAAATATCTTCCTGCTGATCCCTCACGGATCGGGAGAACACAGAATAAAAGTAATCATAAAAAAAGCATCATTGGAGGGGAAAAAAATGAGAAAAAAGAAAAATCTACTCCCCTCAAACAGCTACACTGTAACATGCTCAAAATAAAGCAATGGCAATTGTATTGCTTTAAAAAGCAATAGTATTTGCTTTGCTCATTAGTTATATTCAGCCAAAATCCTACAGCATCTGGAAAAGGACAGCATGTCTAAGGAAGGGCGCCTGTCCATCCATACAGACAAGACGTCTGATAACGTTGGCTCTTCCTGGCTCATCTGCACAGCACTGGGGAAACAGAGATCTTCATCCGGGTAATAATCAAAATATGGTACCTTCCACACACTCTTCTCACTAAAGTATAAACCTTTTGTGAGTTAAGTAAATACATTAATTTTAATCAATGTAAGCACAGGGGTCATTTTTGGGTCATATATCTACCAGTCACAAACACCTGAATGGTTTACTTCCTGCAGTAGCAGAAGCAGCTCCATTACTAAGTGAACACCAGCAGGGTTATACAGCCTGTACCCGAGGCCACAGTCAGCTGCTCACTATGACACTACTGTGTACAAAACAAAAAGGAGTTTGAGGGAGAGGTGACCAAACAGCAGTGTGGACTGTCATTTACAACTGTCCAAAATAAACACTAATCAGAAAAAGAACCAACAGGCAGCAGAAGGGACCCTGTGTAAACTTCATCCCTAAGAAAAAGTTTGCCAAACCAACACGAGGCGTTACTCAGAGAGATTACTCTCAACTGTTCTACCAAGAGCAAGTTCATTTCATCAGTTTCTGTTACATGCAGCTGGTCTCAGAAATAAAACAACCTGATGTGTTTCACAGGAACACACTTAACAAAATGCTTTTGACCAAAGAGTTAAAATAAATTAGAGAAGAGTTCTGCAAATGAGGATGGAGTTTCTGGAACATAGAAAGCTGATATAGTGACACAAGAACTTCCCAGATTTGGAAATAGCTAGGTGATAAGGGAATCTATTCAGACAAAAATTGATGTTATAATTACACAGTAGGTACCCTAACCACCAAGAGACAAAATCATGTCTCTCCTCTCCCTTTAGGGTTGTCCCTCCCCATGCTCAAAAGAAAAAAATTCAGCTCTGTGCTGCAAACAAAAATGAATTTTTCTTCCATGCTTAAAAATCTTCCAGTTTGTTACAATACATTCTCAAAAGCATGAGAAACTGCTGGAGTTAACAATATAAACATAAACAACTGACTTCCATTTACTGCCATATCAATATTAGTCAATGTAAGTTTCAAGCCGCTTTTTAATTGTAGTTGGAAATGGGATATGAACATTTAAATACTTCACCACATAATTAAGTGTTCAAATTAATACAGCCTTCAGTGTAATTAGAAGCAGCTCAACACTGACACAAGAGCACAAGCACAAATGAATAGTGTTCCACCTTTCTGATGACAGGTGACCTTCCCCTCCACAAGTTGAATCGATGCCAGAATTATGAACTGCTTCATAGTGCTTGAACAGCTCCTCAGCTGATCCATGAGACTTCATACACAAGGGACAGATAAATCCCTATTATAAAGAGAAGAGAGGGAAAAAGAAATTAGAAAAAAATAAAGAGATGTCAGAAGTAAAATCTGACTTTTTCTACCTCTATCAAAATGATCTTTGCATATCTAAAAGGCAAGAGATACAATAGCTATTCTTTAAACATTCATGGTAAGTATTTCTTGATCTAATAACAGCTCTAGCAGTTAGAAATTTAGAAAATGTCCGTAAAATTCATATTATTCAGTGTTGCTTTGTTGGTTTTTTTTCCCCAGCAGCATTACATGTGAGTAACAGAGTACTGATTTAGAAAAATGGTAACTTCGAAGGGCTGCATTGCAGTTACTATCACATTTAGGCTACTGATTTTACTAAGGGCCAGGAAATCAACACTTTTTACCTTGCATATAATTAACCAGTAAATGCAATTCACAGAATACTATATCTCAAGGAAGTCATATCTTTACAGCCTAAAGAAGTCATCCTCTTTTAATCCAGAATACTTACTGAAAGCTTACCAGAGCAAAAACTTAGCAGAGCAATACCATCATTCCACCCACTAGCACACAGCCAAGTGAAAACTTAATATTATGCACCTCTAAACATCTGTGGAGTGTACAAACTGCCACTTATCAGAAATGCCATCCATCTCATTTTATTTAGCATTCTGTTTCCACGGGCTAGATTTGATTATGGTTCTTCACTCACTTGGTTATCATGCCTGCTCCCAGCCTAATTATCATTTAAACTATAGACAACACACACTACAGTGGCAAGACAAAGAAATTTTTGAGTGAGAGTAAACAATTTAGTCTCACATTGAAGGCTCTTTATGATGCCAGACTGTGTAAAGAGAACCTTGTGCTTGGCTGCTTAGACTTAAATAACCAAATATTTGCATGGATTCAGTCCAAGAGAACCAAGTGAAGTACAAGAATTCAAGCAAGGAGACGCTCCAAAGGACCAAACAGAAACTTTCTAGCTGTTATTTATTTAATGTTTTAAGAAATCAATAATCAAATACAGTTGCTTGCTAAATCCAGCACATACCATGTTGAAGACTAATTTTAGTATAACTCTGTTAAAAAAGCAGTATACTCCATCGAGAGACAGCAGACATTTACCTTTAACAACCATTTCCTATTTCCAGAACTGGAAATGAAACTGTATGGTTTCATTTCAGATTAAAACAAGTAACTCATACACAAGCATACATAACAACATGGGTACGGAAAGACAAATGAACTGCTAAGTTCTCAGTAATGTTTATCTGAATGCACTGAAAGTACCAGAGGGAAATTTCAGACAATTCCTGGCAAACAGCAGTGGCAGTGAACTATAGAAGCTGTCAAAAAGCAAGGAGTGTATTTTAACTAGCAGCTGAAAGCAGGCAGACTCATTTGGCACACTGGAACAGAAGCCCTCTCTGGATGAAATGCTGCCAAGCGATTCCCAGCCTGCTGCTTGGTTTCCCTGTGACAGGAAGGTCTGCAGCGCACAGAGAAAAGCAGACATCCCTTACTGCACAAGAGCATCTGAAAAACTGTAGAAAATTGCTTGGTCCTCTCCGTCCTATCGCCCTTTATTTCTTCCCATTTAAAGAGCAGAGACTTCTTTTATGCTTGTGGGTTTTTTTCTTTTTCTTTGATATGCGGTTGGGTTTTACTCTATGGCAAGAGGGGCTTTGGAGTAGAAGAAATAACAGGTTACATTTGCAATTAGCCCAAGGGGACAGCGATCAATCACCTGTCTCACCATCAGGCAAAGCCAGCCTGAGATGCCCCAGAAAGTCACCACAAGTGGTGGCAAGGACAAAGGAGCAGAGGGGCAAGTTGGCCAGCAAGGCACCAGGCTACCACTGAGACCCGGGGGATGGAGCTCCTGCTCCGGAGGCAGCTTTGCTGTCATTAGCAAGGGAGGAAGCACAGCAATATCTACTCCTCCTAACAGAAACCAACTTCCTCCCACATGGGCAGGGCACAGAGCATCACCACCGGCCCCAGCTCCTGCTCAGCCGTGACTAGGCAGCCTCACTCAGAGGGACCTGGCACTGCTGGAGTCAGCACTGGGTTACAGCTCCCACACACACCCTTCATGCTGACACAGCATTTGCAACAGGTCCGAATCTCAAGCTCCCATGAGATGCATCTCTTTTGCAAAGGGGCTTTTCTGCTGCAGAAAGCAACACCCTTATGGCTGCATGCAGAGGTGGGGTGGGTAAGAACACTGGCTCCTCTAGCAGCTCCCAAGTCTGCATACCCAGGCCCGAATCCTTCTCACAGCATGATAACACTGCAGAAGTCAGAGCTGATGGCTGAATAATAATCCAGGTCTCCTTACAGTAAGGGGACAGAACCAGCAGGACCTCCCCAGGCCCCATCTGGTAACATACAGAAGCATACAGCTGTCCTGCAGCTATTAGCCCCAGAGAAGAATCATGTTTGGGGTGGTGGGTCTCACTTTTTTTTTTTTTTGTAGTTACATTTTAAGGAGAAACCATTTCTCAGCATTGTCTTGAGACGCGTTTTGAAAATGTGCAAAAGTATATTGTATTAATTTAAAGATGAACATACGAAAAGGGAGGAAAGAAGGAAAACTGATGGCCCATACTTAAATCTTGCAACAATTTTTGTTTCAAGGAATAACATCAAGTGCAAGATGCATGGTCCTCTATCAAGATTACATTCTGAATAACGAGGAAATGGCACAGTTATTACATGAGATGTAATGCTCCCCCCAACAAGGGGAAGGGCAGGGAGGTCTCCAGTCCAGTAAGTCTACATTTGGCTTCCTTAACTAAAAGACTTGGAGAACAAACAAGCACTACTCTTGTATTCAAAGAAGAAAGCTACCATACATAACATGCACAATTACACCTTTCAAAAGGCTGTATTTGCCAAGAGATATTTGGTAAATTTCATTTCAAAACGCATTTACAAGTAACTTTGCATAAAGCACAGCACAACCACAGAGAAGTGAAAGGCATTTAATATCTTTGCTTTTATGAAATGAAGATTATCACCTATGACCCCCGCAGTGCTGCACTGTAACTTGTAATTTCCCAGCAGATGTTTGTAATTGAGCAAAATCTTCTGCTTTATTTAAAGAGAAAAGAGCACCCAAAAAGTTGAAGGATGGTTTTTGTTCTCAAATACAGAGATCTTCCAACAGGAAATGGCAATTAAATAAAGAAAAAAAACCAACCACATGCATGAGTTCTTATCGTGAAAGTGTTTTTAAGATCACCACCAACCTTCCAAAGCAAGATAGAGCAAGATAAGCCCAAACCAAAATACCATACATGTACACAAACAGTCCTCTGGGAATCCACATGCAATTTACAGCTCACAGTAGTGTCTGACCCACTGGACAAGGTACTCCAAACAGAATGAGACAGGAATTTCAAACCCCAATTTCCCACTTCAGCACCCAGCATCTCCACATTGCCCTCTGTGGAAGAGGACTTTCTCAGCGCAGACATCAAAACAAAGGAGTTTCAGTCAGAGCAGAACAGACATTGCTAGGTAGAAGCTGCATAGGAAGGTGTCTTGCCTCAGTCTGAGTTAGAATGACAAATTTTGCCAATTATCTTGGACTTCATGGAAGTACCAGTGGCTTTTCTATTTCCTTTCATCAAGACTTACGAGCAAGCCTGTAGAGGGGAAAAAGTGGCTACAAACATTCTTCTAATACTTCAGATTTACTTTCAGACCTGGTAAAGTTAGTTTCTCAATGCTCCCTCTCCTAAAAGGCATATGAGGTAAATGATTCCTTTCGGGTAACATTAATATTCTTACAAATCATTAATACAGCATCTTTTGGGAAGCAAGCCAGGATACTAAAAGCAACACTGGAAGGAAACTCTTGCACAAGAGCTACCACATTTCTTTTTACTGGACCAATATAATTTACAGGGATATTAACTGTTCAAAGAACCTTGGCCTCCCACCCACAAACACTCCCCAGAAAGAGCTGGGGCATGGACTCAGCACACTGTGTGCCACCAGACTGACTGCAGCCTGCCACAGTGTCCTCTTAATCCTCAGTCATTTTAGAAGCATATAGACTATACAAATAGAGAAATTCACGTATAGAACTGCTTCTCTGGCTTCTCCTATTATTACTCTGTAGGATTGATGAAGGAATGCAATAAAAATACAACGAAAACTTCAGCTTTATCAGAATATTACCTTTCTTTTAAATGTTTTTCCTCATCATTCTGCACAAAGCTGATGTGAACATCAAGTTGTGTGTTGTGACAACACCTTCACAGCAGAAATAATTTCCCTACTCACTACCAAAGAAAATTAAAGATTTCAAATCATTTCACATATTTCTTCAGCAAGAAGAAGGCTTCAGCACGCAGCCTGAATTATTTTATTTTTAAACCTCCACATAGGTGTCTAACTCTCCAATTGCTGTCAGTGGAGAACTATTTGATACAGCTAATGGAGCAAGCAACTCTGCAGCTGACCTAACAAATATATATAATGTAAGTAGGGTCAGCAAGTGAGGTCCCCATCAGACTCCATTGCTGCGAACTGGAGCTTGAAGCACGCCTTAAATCTGAATCTAAGCACTTACCAACTGTTCTATTTTCCAGAGCTTTACTGAAATAGTCTTTGTAGAGCTAATATGAAATCTTGTCTTACGTAATTAATGAGTGAAACGCAGATTACTTTAGGCTTCTTTTTCACAAATTAAAACTGGAGTTAGCTAGTAAAAAGAGGCCACCACTTCTTTAGAGACAGCCTCATGGGCAAAACAGCTTATACAGATTTGCTTATAGAGTTGGAGTACAAGAGAAGGAACCCTAGGCAAGTTTGGAAGTCACAGACATAACTACCCAGCTTCCTTAGCGTTTTGTTTAAAAACTGAATGACTGCCTATTCTGTTCTCCAACCCCATTTTAATACTGAATAGAACTGAACAAATGGTTGCTCTAAATTACTGCTGATCTACAGTTGTCTGTGGTACAGAGCCATATAACATGAAGAGCACGCATGGAGCTTATTTGCTAATGC